ATCGACCGGTCGTTCCACTGGTCGATTCAAGGTCACTTTTGCGACCAGTGTATCGACCAGGTCGCTGTTTGGTTGTAGCCACATCAACACACAAAAAGCCTCATCACAGGCAGCAGGCATAGCAACAGGCATAGCAATACCTGCCAACAAGGATATCCCATGAGAAGAAGTAGCAATGAGCCGTAGACAGCTCAAAGAGCTCGCTGAAAGAGGAAGAGGATTGGGAGAACTCACCTCTGGGGCAACTAGGCGAGCCATGACGGATCACAGTCGTCGTAGACTTGCTATTTGATAGCTCTGTTGATGGTCCTGGAGAGTTCATTGATCACCGTACGCTGCACAAGACGAGAAAGGAAGAAGTACGTATCATGCCAGGGCGAAGGATTGCATCATGTCGGATTATCTTTGGGCTCGCACCTCTATTCAACGACCGGCGTTCCAAGTCTTCTTCCGTATCTCTCGTTCTAGGATGCAGTGTTTCATTGAAGACTTCGGTGGCACTGGAGACAAGTATTATTGCGGGAAGGGAGGATCATGCCTTGAAGCCCGTATCCTGCTTCCACTGAAGACTCTTGCCTATGGCGTGCCGCCCACACCTTCTGCGATTATTTCCAGATGTCTTTTCAATTTGCCCGCGATTGCTGCGACAAATTTACAGCACTCTTTCCGCAATTTACAAGGCGAGTATCTTTCGGTTATTCTTCCAACCCGTTCGGATGTAAAAAACATCACGAAATGCCACAAAGCAACCCATGGAATTCAAACCTAATAACTAAAATATTTGTTAATTCTCTAGGTTCCTGTTGACAAACTAGACACCAGCTTCATCGTTGATATGTTGGGAGACTGGATGCCACGTAACATCAGGTGGATGGGTGATACCAGCTCCAGCAGGGACAGGGGAAGCACGGTTGCTGGTCAATCCACTAGCAACGGTGGCAGTTCCTGCAGCAGTAACAGTGGTTGGGGCACAATTCATAAGAAAGTGTTCAAGTGGAGTCGCTTCCAAAATCATGGCCTCGTCCAATTTCTGGTTCGCTTCATCATACGGCCAAAATCTTTCATTGAGAGTCTCCTTCTTGACTGGTACGAGCTCAGGAGCTTTCACAGCATCCCCCTTTTTGGTCCTCTTCCTTGGAGGCAATGGAGGCTTGCCAGTGGGCTTCTTGGCGGCAGCCTTGCGGCAGCAATCTTCTTCAAGGGGACGTCGTCATCGTCATCTTCGTCGTCATCGTCGTCATCATCTTCGTCAGAATCGTCATCCGCTCCTCTTCCTCGTCAAAATCCTTGCCACGCTTCTTGCTATGGCTCCTGGTACTCTTGGCAGTGTAGAAACTGCCTCTACTTCTTCTTGCTTCTTTCTTCATCAGAGATGACTTTACTGATGCGTCAGATTCATCTTGACGCTTCTTCCTGATTCTGCTGCGGCCTTGTTGTGCTTCTCCACAAAGCCATCTCCCTTCCCTTGCTCCTGCAGTCTTCATTGTCAACCAAAGCAACAACAAGCCCAAAGCAACCAAAAGCAATCAATAAAGCACACTGATGATTGAGCGAAATGAGCTCGATCGAAAGTTTCCACGGAACGAACGACCGTTTCGGCGACCTATGTTGCAACCGAAAAGTTTTAGTGATTGAATTGGTCATATTAGGTATAGTCGACCGATATGGCGACCCAATTTTAGTGATGAAAAAGGTCGCCGTTTGGGTCGACCAGATGGTATCTATTTGGGAACGACCAATAGTGCGACCTATATTTTTAATGACTGCTCTTTAGCTAGTGCTTAAGGAGGTACAACCAGGTCTGCCCGTCATCGGTAGGAACACCGGAAAATCTCTCTTGTTATTCTTCCTTTTATCGAGCTTTTTTATCAACCGACCATGATCAAAGCAGTTATATGGCTGCCGCTGCCGTTCCTTCCACCGATCACGTAGAGACCCGTGCAGTGGATGTGTGCGTTCGCAATAGCCATGGCTGTTAACTTGCGTCGGGGTAGAGAGGTGCTGGTTCTTTATACGTGTGGGAAATGTCGTGAAGGAAGGTGACATCAGGCGGACCAGGCTCCGTACGAAGGATGTTTGCCATTGCAAGGACAATAAAGAAATCTGTTTTCATGACCAAGTTCAAGCCTGACCCATATGAGAATTTTATGGTTCTTCGTCTGAGGCAGCAAGTGGAAAAAAAAAAAAACTGAACGTCTAAATAACGGTATTCAGACGAGATGTGCTCGAGGACTACCCACGAGCTAAGGCTCGGGTATTTCCCACAGTCAAGTCTGCTCACCGCCACACTGGCCTCCTGAGAGGGTGCGACGCCTGTTAGCTATCTAGGATTTGTACACTGAGGTAGAGCAATGATTCACCACAAATCAAGAGCTTTTTGTTGAAAAGAGTTAGGGTTGGTAAAGAAGTTTGAGGGGTAGGAGGGGTAAGGAAAAAGGCAGCAAGTGAGATGGTGGCAAGAGCAGACAGGGATGAGTTTCATAATGCATCTTTTGTTGTGTCCCCAGTATCAAGAAGCTTGTCACTGACGTCAATGAATCATGCCTACCTTTGTGTTGATGATGAGCCAGTTGAAGATTATCATTTCGGTCGCAACCTAAACCTCGACCGAAATGAGTTAGTGACTGAATAGGTTTCGATTTGGGTTCCAGCTAAAAACCAATCGACCAATATTGGGTGCGACCTATTTTTTAGTGACTGCTCTATAATAAGCACTAGAGGTATCTGCTTCTAGCTAGCTAGCTAATAGGGGTATCTGCTTCTACACTGAAACCTTTCTGCCGAGGTTACACAGCTCCGCTGGCTTATTAAAAAAACGGCTACCAGTAGAATCTACGTATGTAGTGAAGCTTCGCGCGAAAAGGGCGCATGCACCTCTGGACCTCTCCAGCCCCGATTCATTCCTCACTTTTGTTCTTTTCTTGGATCGATCGATCTTGTGAAGATTCAAAGCCCAACTTGGGGTGCCTTCTAGTTCTAGCACCATAGGCACAGTCACAGGCTAGTCCACAGGAGCTGATGTTGTAGGTCACTGAAAGTAGCTCTCGAGTAGCCCACAGGATATCGATTCAAGAACTTATCGTGTGAAGATCTCACAGTCTACCTGTATGGACGAAACGTGTGCCCGAGATACAGGTAGACTGCCGCTTGTTACTCAAAACAAGTAAGATGTATCAACAGCGTTGGTGCGGGAGTCGATGACACTTCAACATGCACAGCGCGAGAAACCATGGAGCCACCCTCGAACTCCTCGCCACTCTGCAATCTTTTGTTGCCATCAGGACTCAGCACAGATCTGCGTATGATTCGATTCAACCCAAAGATTGGGCCGAGAGACAGGCTGCATCCGCTTCGACTGAAGGTTACGACCGCAACAGCAGATCTTCTTGTTGTCTCCGGCTGAGTCAAGTCTCTCGAGTAAAGTAAGTGATACGAAACCGGTACCAGTACTCGATGACCCAGGACTGGACCTGTATACGGTCCCTTTCCCACACCAAAACAACAAGACCAAGAAGCAAGGAACGCAAGCCCGATTAGTTCTGTTGAAATAGGCTCATAAAGACTAAAATATATATTTCAACATGACCAACTCAACAAACGTCAATGCTATCCCAATAGCCTACCCAAGCCAACCTTACATCGAACTTCCCAAAAGGCTTCAAGTCCACTTTGTGGCTGTTCCGAAGACTGGCCAGCCTGTGGGTGTCAACCTCACTCAAAATGGAACCGACCATGTGTTGATCAGCGGTATGGAAGCTTCAAGCCCGTTGCAGAACACACCGGTTGCACCAGGGCAACTTCTATTGGCCGTGAATGGGAATTCTTGCCTGCCTAGTGCCTCTGCCGCCACAAAGTTGATCCGAGACACAAACTCCCCATCGTTTCTCGTTTGCGACAAGCCCCAGAGCAACTCTTGCATTCATGTGGTTACAGCCCCCTTTAGTCGGCAAAATCCAGGCGCCCTTTTTGCTTCCATCCGTGGGGGCGCTCTAGTCGCAGTGAGTAAGGTGTTCAAGACAGGGCCATTCGCGGACAAAGACATTCAGAAAGGCGATATTGTTGTTGCTGTCAACGGAGTGCCCGTCGCCTCCCCTGAGGATGCCAAGAAGGCCCTGCTGAAACCCATGGCGAAGAGCTCAGTCACAGTCCTGCACGTTCTTAGCATGGAAATGCTTCGAAAGGCCATTGCGGGTTCTGTCACTGCCCGCAGTGGAATCTCCATTGAAATCGATGTTTACTCGAAGGCGCCGTACCTGGTTTTTTACCGTCGCGGCAAGCGAGGAAAACGACTTGTCTCAGTCAGACATGATCCAGAAACTCTTCACCTGGTTGACCAAGGCTTGGTGACCGAGCTCCCAAAAGGCTCATCCCGAGAAATACATTTGGTCCCCTTCATTAAACATTTCAATGAGCTACTGGAGGTCGCACTTGACATTTTTGAGGATGATGTGTGCGAGACTGAATGGAGATACCTTACTAGTGCAGCCAGGATATCAAGCGACACGCCTGCCCTACCCATCCCAGCGGAACGAACGATGCAACGTGTCTCTTCAAGCATTCCTGTTGTGCAAGCAACGTTCGTTCCAATGGAAGGCTAGACATCTCTACAAGAAAAAGTGGCCTTGATGACTCTACACGTAATAGAAGAGCGAATAATCCAAGACTCTAGCTCTACACACTTGTATTATCATTAATTTTTTATGTCCTCAACAAGATGTCAGCAACCTCCTTTGCTGCACCCACGTTCACAGTCCAACCGCTGCCTCCATGTCCGTAGCTGTGGATGACCCGTACATGTCCCTGCGTTTCCTCTTCTTCGCAACGGACAATTGGGCGATACGGGCGAAAACCGGTCCATTCTCCCAGTATATTGGCATTGGCAATGTCAATCCCCATAAGCTGTGCATTCTCCATGAGTCTCTTGCGTTCGGAATCTCGCAATTGCGGGTGTGTGTCTCCTTCTAGGTAGGTCCCACCAATGGCAATGATGTTACCTCGTGGAATCATGTAACAAGGTTCTGTGTCGCTGCCCCAGGGCCGAGCCTCCGTCAAGAGCACAGCATCCTGTTCCATCCCTTGGAGCGACGGTCGTCTCGGACAGTTGTTGCGTTCCACCTGCAAGAGCACACCGCGGCCACCAACGAGGTTTTTGTCTTGGCACATGGCATGGCTGCCCATTCCAGCACAGTTGATGACGGTGTCACAACTCAAACTCTGGGCCACCTCCTGCATGTGATCTACGGATTCATAGTATTCGCCCGTCTCCACGTCAACATCTGCATCCGGGTTTTCCTCTATCTCCTTTAGCAGCGCCTTTTTCAGTTCAAATGAGCCTATTGATGAGGCCAATTCAAGTACTGCTTACAAACACATACAAGCAGATACCTTCCGCGAAAATAAATCCTTACCTGCAACATTTTGGGAGAATCTACAATTGGTGTTTGGAACATCCATGCATGCCAATATCCTGCCCGTTTCAGCTCCTCTTCCGTAGGGATACGCAGTTTTTTGACAATATTCTGCCATCCCAGCATTTCCACCGTCAATTGTTGGAATTCCAATCTAGGGTCTTTGGTCCAAGTGGGTAGCTTGTCAGTATCAGTATACGTGGAGTTGGTATCTTCGGTTTGACGGACCAGTTCATTGTTGTTGTTTTCCAGACTGACCGCTGGCATGATCTCGACAAGGTCATTGTCCTCCTCCTTGCCTAGGGACCAGAGTTCATCCAGTGTCTCCGAGGCCCATCGATCCGTGCGGGAATCGTCGCAATGGAAGGGCATCCAGAGACCACCAGCACCAATGGAACAGACGGAAGGATGCAATGGCGAAACGGGCGATCGAAGTGTCACTGGAACTTTCCGTCGGATCAACTCAACTGCTGTCCGAAGGCCTGAAAGATTGAGAAAGCGAAATGGAGTGGAAACATGAGAAGAGAGAAGCTTGTCGTTTGCAACTCGACTCTCGACTCGACAAAAGTCGATTTCTTACCAATGGCTCCAGAGCCTACTACAAGCGCTCTCATGGTTTCTCGACTTGCCCTAAGACTCCTAATAGGACGACGGGGAAGCGGCAACAGATGCTGCTGTCTGATGATATCAAGTGATTCCACTGGAGTCTGCTGCCAAGCAAGCAAAGATGCCGAGAAAGATGAACGAGGAATTGAGGGTGCCCATCTGCATATAAGAATAACTCGATCGCTAACTCTTTCCATTTCCACGCTCAACCTCCACGTTTGCCATAGCAGAGCAAGAAAAAACGAATTTGGGCGAAGCAAACGCACATTTCCGACAAACTCTCCACAACAGGTATTGATAGAGCCAAAACAACAAGTACTATGAGCTATTTCTGTTTACAGTAAGCAACTTCGTACGGGTAAACGTCCCTTTTGTTAGGCCAAGCTGGATCCCTTGGAGCTGCAACCGACCGACCTGCAACCAAGGGACACAGACTCCGGCGGTATACGGAAGTTCAGATGCACCTCTTCGGGGTGTGAAGAAGCCGAACAAAACTGCAATAGATCTGCTTTGGTTTTCTTGATCATTTTTGCCTTGTGAAGCGCCCCCCATTCAGTGTACAACCTGATGGCTTCTTGGTAGCGGAACCCTGCAGATGCCTTGTCTTTCAACACGTCCTCGTGAAACTCGGCAAGGCGTTCGTTGGCCAGTGCGGCGTCTTGAATGAAACCTTGCTTCCTAGCAGTCACAATGGAAGTTTCATAGAGCTTTTCCGCTTCTTCGTTCTTTCCCTTCAACGCCGCCCTTTCCGCCGACAGAAAAGAAGCAAAGTGCAGGACATTCGGATTGCCTTGCTTGGCCCACCCATCGATCTTCTGCTTCATTTTCTTGGCGTGCTCCTTGTACTTTTTCTTTTTGCTTGTCCTCGCCACAGAAAAGCAGGAAACAGCCTGGTAGAAAACGTCCATCACAAACGCTGGGGTACCCGGGTGTACTCGAATCATGTCTCCCTTGGAGATTGCGAGCTCGGCCCCCAATTCATGCTTTCCTAGCACAGCAAATAACACGTTCTGGTAGCACTGAAACATGGTCTTGTAGTAAGGTTCAGAACCGCACGATGCAAGAAAATCAACTTCGTCCATCGCCTGACCGGTCAGGACGAGTGGGCTTGTGCCATCAACGCCCCTGAAGCGGTGAAACGGCAGAGAGGGTTGGTAAGCCAAACACCGACCAATGATATCACCAGAATCCTCGGGAGGCGGAAAAAACTCACATCAGATTCATTACAAGTTGCCAAAGGATCTTGGACAATAGCATCGCTTTATGCATGTGCATATCTTCCATTTGTACTGTGTAGGCCCGCAAGTCTGTTTCGATGGCACGAAGCGACTTGCCAGACCGGAAGGCAAAAAGCAAATAGTGGTAAATCGAATATGATGCATAAAGAGAAGCACCATACTCCAAGGCAACACCGTAAGCGTTTAGTAGCGGTTTCATCATTTGATGAACAGGCTGTGTGTTATGCAAGACATGAGCTATAAAGAAAGGTGAAGGATAAGTTGTTAGCCACAAAATCAACCGATGCGACTACCTGCTTGGGGCGGATCATACTCACCATAAACGATGTAGTGGGCCTCAGGCAAAACTCGTCGCTTGGCAGGTATTCGTTCCAGGAGCTCCAGGCACGCCATGCCATACTTTGACCCTTCTTGTATCTTGTCCAGGAAGCTACCCACCATCATTCCGATGCAGGCAGTATTCTTGGGTGTGTCGTTTCCAAGGCCGTGCTTTAGCGAATACTTGGCCAACTTCAGGTTGGCGAGAGGGAGCAAAGGAGACTTGGCCAAGTAGCCGAATGTTCCAAGTCTTGTCAGAAATCTCATTGTAGCTTTGTGCTTGGGGTCCTGCAGCAGTGGAAGATTCCGTAGTTGTTCACAAGCAGAATCTGCATCTGATGCTGCTTTGTTCATCCCCATCTGTATTTTGACCCCTATCTGGAGTTTGTTTGTAGGGAACGTCACTCCGAGCTCGCGCAGCACATCCAGACACATGTTCAACGCTTCTTCAACCTTGCCTTGGTTGAATAGGTTGACCATCACACACTGGTAGGGCAGAACTTTGTCGTATATGCTAACGTCGGAACGCGATATGACCTCGTTGCATTGCCTCTTCATGGAGTCAGACTCTCCTAGGGTGGAGTACATATCTCCAGCCAAGGAATGCAGCTGCAAGGTCAGTTCAAAATCACTGGTCCATTTGCTCTCCGGGAGCAAATCAATCCCTTGTCTGCAGTAGTCCGCTGCTGCCCAGAAAGAGCTAAGTGACGCTGCTCTCCTGGCCGCTCGTAGATTCAGCTCCGCTAGACTCACAGGAGTGTCTGACATGTTCGGAGCCTCGTTGAGCAGATTGGCAATCAAGAAAAGGTCTTCTTCTTGGTCTACCGCATTAAAGCTCTTCAGCAGTACTGCCCCCACGCAGTACTTGAGCTTGCACAGTTCCTCTGGACTGAGCAGTGTCTGTGCAGCTTCCATCAGCTTGTCATGAATCCAACGGTAGCCCCTGCATTCTCCTGCGGATGTAGTAGTTTCCAATATACCTGCAGACACACAGCGACTCAGGTCGGACTCGTAAGGAGTCCCAGGATAAAAGTCTGCCATGATCAGCTCCATTGTGGTCATCTCAAACTCAGTCCCAAGACATGACGCAAACAACAATACTTGCCGCGTACTCTCCGGAAGACCAGCAAGTTGGCTGTGCAAAAAGTTGACAACATTTTCAGTGGCCTTGCTTCTTTCGGCAATTTCGTCATGGTTCCACTTCCAAGAATCGGACATAATGTCAAACTTGACAAGCTTCTCTTGCCAAAGCATGGTAACGAAGCGAACCAAATAAAAGGCATTCCCGCCGCATTTCTTATAGCAGATGCTTGCCAGCGTTTCTGTTTCCGAAGGTTCCTTCTGGAGCAATTCCGACAGCAAGAGGTTGAGATCCGTTGAATCCAGGTCCTTGAGTTTTATATGCACAACCTCGCACACTGGTTTCTCTGCGATTTCTGTTTGTACCGATGTCAGAGGGTGCTCTGCATCAACTGCATCGTCGCGATAGCACCCAACGAGCATCACATTGGACAAGCTGTTACAGTCCAGTGCCAAGACCTCCAGGAGTTCGAGCGAACCCAAGTCGGCCCATTGCAGGTCATCAAGGACCAGTACCAAGGGAAAGACGGACGCCACAACTCGTACAAACTTGCGAAAGACAAACTGGAAAAGGTCTTTTGACTGGTTCTCAGATTCTTCCGCCGTGTACAATGGCCGATCCAGCACCGTCACGACACTGTCTCGCATTTGCTGTTCCGACGATGCCGCCGAGTCATCGCCCATGGTCTCTTCGAGAGTTGCGATAAAGGGTCCCAGACCCGGCAGCAATCCCAGTAACAAGTCAAATTCTTCTCGTGCCATCTGCGCTTGGAGCGCCTCGAGAAGATTCTGGAATTCCTCTTGACGTCCTTCTTTCAGTGCCAAGAGTTGCACGCACAAGTCATCACACGACGAGGCGAACCCAGCCAGTGGTTGCACACTGCTGCTCCTGTTGGCAGTACTGGTTCTTTCGTAATGGTTGTTTTCAAACTTGCCACTGACATAGAGCCCTCCTCGGTTGGTCACTTGCAGTTGGAGTGCGTATTCCGCCAAGGCAGTCTTTCCGGATCCGCTTGCTCCAGCAATCCATGCCACCTGCCGGGTACTTCTAGATGAGTGAGAAGAGGAGCACTCCTTTTGGGATTTGGGTTTGTAGATGCACTTGTTCTTGGGCACGATGCACTTGTCGAGTGCCCGACGCAATTGTTGTACTTCAGTATCTCGACCAAACAAGCCCAGCTCGGCCAGTTGCATGGGAAGTGGGGCCCCCGCCACGGTACTGGCCGTGAGACCGGAAGCTCCTCTCAATTTAGCGCTCTCGGGAGCCCACCGTGTGAGGACACTGTGCTGTGAATTGCCCGTCAAGAGGAGTTTGCTGGGTCGACTGGGGATGGAGGAGGGTCTTTCTGTCCCGGCGACAGAATCGTCGTCCGTGTCGTAATCACAAAGACTCGGGTTGGATCTATTTTGGCATGGAGGAAGAGAGCTCAACGAAGTCAGCCCTGCACTCTTGTTCCTCAGCAAAGTTGGCAGGTGTTTGGCAGCGCTTTCCGCATCCGACTCAATGGAAGACGCCGTACTGCCTTGTGTAAAGCTGGTTCCACTCAATCTCGCCAAGTCTTGTGTCTTGCTCGGTGGATGATGCATCCCACAATCGCATGGATCGTCTTCGGATCCCAGCTTGGCTTCTTCTCGTTCGAGTTGAGATTCCAGTATGTCAAAGTTATCGGTGAGGGCGTGATCTTCGTCCTCACCATGCAACAAGGATTCCTCTTCATCCTCCTCCTCCTCGTCATCGTCTCCGAGAATGTCCCAGTTGTCGACGGCCGAAACGATAGAGTCATGCATCCGCAACATGACACTGCTCCGACTGGGACGACTGCCTCCACTTACCACAGTGCCTAAGGAGGTCACCGATGATCCCATCGTCTTGGTGTCACCACAATGATGATCACTTGATCGGTGTGCACCGTGCTTTTGGATCATGAGCAACCGCATGCTGCCCACTTTCTCCAAGCCTCGCCGTTCCATCGTGGTGCTCGCCATCTTTGTTCTCTAGATTCTAGCTACTAGGTCTGTTGCTTCTATGTTTTTGATTTGGCTGTTAGATCTAAGCCTAAGCTATCTCTTGGATGAAACAGAAGGTGGCCAGAACGAACCCAGGAAGTAAGTGGACGTGGACTCACTGTAGATATTCTGTAGACCATTGATGCATGTGTGTTGGAGTGCTGGGTACCGGTAAGTGCCAAAGCTCCTTTGGATGCTGTCTCTGTGGTGGGTGGTGAATTCAGTTGCCGCCGTTGCATTCCGGGTTGGAAGGAAACAGTTTTGACTGGATATGCTACCGGTACCCGTACCTATGCATACGTAAAGACTAGATACATCGTAGACGGCGAACCTAGATGGAATAACTCAGAGAAGAAATAGCATTGGTAGCATTATGATAGGCTTTACTCTAAACTTCCCTTTTTAATTCCTACTTTACCTTATTTTAATAGAACTACTGTTTCCTGTTTCCTGAGGCTCCTACCGGCCTACCGGTACTATGAAAGCTAGTACAGCTGCTAGTACTAAATTAGTTCTAGCAGCTCATAAATTCTCAAAGAGGAACCTGATAGGGAACCTGTTCCCAAATCTACCTGGTTTTGGTTACATATCTGGTTACGTATCTGGTTCTTCGCAACGACCTATCTGGATGGGATTCTCAAGCAGCTCCAGCATGACATTACTTTCCAAATGAAGGTCCTGACCTACAAGAATTCCAAGTTCATGGACGAACACCGCTTCCACTTGCGGAAGGATCAGCTGGAAAAAGCCAAACGTCGGACTACAGACCTGTTGGAGAGAATTGCTAAGGAGAAACCCGAAGAAGAGATTTCCCCAGCCTTTCAGGATATGCTGGAGTTGGGAGTGTTGGAGGCCATGAAGGCGTTGGAGGAGGCCCGTCAGGATGATTAGGCAGCCAGCTTGGGCAGGTCATGTTTGGTAACCAGATAGGTAGTTTCGTAACCATTTATGTAACCTATAACCTAACCTGTAACCTAACCTGATAGAATTACTGTATCTGGTTGGTAACCTATAACCAAACCAGATAGAATTTTCTATCCGGTTGCTGTAACCTATAACCTAACCAGTTCAAAATCTATCTGGAGCGTCCCTCAATCGTGGGTGAGTTTAAAATACGACCCAAATCCGACCCTAAATCTTTGAAAACCGACCCTAATTCCATGTAGCAATAGGGTCGGTTTTGAAACCCGCCCCTAAATCGAAACCCGTCCCTAAATAAGGGACGTTTTTTCAGAATCCGTCCCTAATTTTAGGGTCGGTTTCGAAACCCGACCCTATTTTAGGGTCGGATTTCAATGTATTTACCACTCAGTCCCGCTTCCATTTAGGGACGGTTTTCAAACCCGCCCCTAAATCGAAACCCGTCCCTAAATTAGGGACGTTTTTTCAGAATCCGTCCCTAATTTTAGGGTCGGTTTCGAAACCCGACCCTAAAGGGGAATCCGTCCCTAAATCCGACCCAAAATTAGGGTCGGTTTTCGATATAAGTCATGCACGATTGAGGAACGCTCCTGGTTCTCACACCCTGGTACTAATAGCTAGCTAGTGCTCCTATGTTTTTCTTTTTAAAAAAAAGAACATCAGAATGTATTGCTTATTTATGGCATTACGATTGATATCAATTATCAGTCGTACACGCTTTTACCCAGCTTCTTTTGTATTAGCACTGTCTATTTAAAATCCTTGGAATGCTCTAAGTAAATGAGCCTCGTCAGTTCTCCGCACTAAAATGTCTACTAGTATTCGGAATCCTAGCCGTTACTATTAATAGTACTAGTAAAGCTCTAGTACTGAGCAGGACTGGTGACATCTCCTCTGCAGGATCAGGGGGTACCGTAGGTACCCCCTTTTTGGCCCTTTTTGACATTGCTGCTTGCACTGCATAGACCCACGCAGACTATGTAACCTTACCAACTCACAGCCCTCAGAAGCTCTTGATTTCTAGCTAGCTAGTAGGACATCCTCCATTTCAATTCGTTTGTAGGTTGCATCACTCCTCTTCAGAGAAAGTTCCTGCCTAATAACCAAAGTATAAAGCTGATCACGATTATCATACTCGACTGCAAGCACCCAGATTTCTGCACTAATGCTAACAGATGCAAGATAATCCTGAGCATAGATTCAACGGGTTGCTACCACAAACACTGCCAACTGTTTTCAGGCTTCCTCACATACTTTTTCAAAATCTTTTGGTTCAGTTGACAAGCGGAAGAATGCCCGCCTTGCAATGCCGGGTGCCCCTAGTCTAGGGTTAATCTTGATGAGTTTATTGTGGAATCCTACTTTCGTTACTCTAGCTATTCATGATATGAATGCTGCTGTACAGGTACAAACACGGTCAGAACTCTAATAGACTGTGGCACTTCTGGCAGTCTCTGTGATTTCAATATCGTCTGCTTCGCTGGGCTTGCCCACAGAAGTATCAGGCGATGAGGGTGTCTTGGAAGTTCCTACGCACGTGGCAATCAAACGATCTGCCGTCGAGGTAGGTTCGCGAGGTCCGATGCAGTCGGTCAGGGTCAAAAAGACCACAAAGCTTCCAATGGTCGCTTGGATGATGGTAAAGAACAAGACCATGGCGAACTTTGTGAAGAAGGTGATCACACAGAACAGCATCACCATGGCGCCGGCAAGTGTTGTAAAGGCTGCTGCCAATATGGAAGGTCCCATATCAATCAAAGCATGCTTCGTGCGACGTTCTCGGGAAACGTCTCCCGGAAGTGCGACATAAGCGTGAGAAAAGTGAATGACGAAATCAACTGCAATGCAGACAAAGATAGAGGTGAGTTTTGCAGAATCAAAGAGTGATCATGAGTAGACAGCTTTGTTCCTTTGCTTACCTGAAACACCAATGAGAATGGCAAAGCAAATGCTTTCCAAGAAGCCCAAGTCCCACCCAACAGCCACCATCATTGCTGTCACCGATGCCAACACATATCCAATGCTCAGAACCGAGAAGAGTGTCATGACTAGTGATCGCGAAGAGATCAAGATGATGGCGCCCGCGGCAGCCAAGGCGATAGCAGCTGAACCATACGCCGTGCGGAACATGTTACTGTTGGTATCGTACCACCAAAAGTCGTGGGAGGAAAAGAAGGCGTTGGAGGCTTCTTCGGGTGCATTATCGTTTCGGTCACTGTTCATCCAATCTTCAATCATGTTCCATTCACTGTCGAGAGCCTCGTTCGGCGAGTCGTAACGGACACGACTATTGAAGGAAAAGTACATCACTTCGACAACTCCGTTTCGAGAGAGGACAGATGTTTCTTGCTCCAGTTGAGCCCACGCGGTGAAGCAAGCATGGAAGGCATTCGAGTCCATTGGGAGGGCGGAAGCTCCGGCGCAGTAGGTCTCGTAGAGGGAATCACTGGAAGCAGCAGCACTTTGAGTTTGAAGCCAGGTGTCGAAACGATTGATGGGGCATTCGTAGTCGTCAGGGATGCTTGCAAACTCTTTTGCGAGGAATCGAGGACAGTAGTCCTTCAAGTAGCTTTGGGCGGCTTGAGTGGAGGGGTCAAAGGTGTCGTCCAAAACCAGAGTCGACCAACTTTCGGGGTTGCTGGGAGATCCAATCAAGAGAGAGCATGAGGATGGAGCATACTCATGAAGGAGGGACCACGATGCCACGCATGTTCTGACTTACCTGTGGTCGCCCGTATCGGCAGCTTGCACACCCCAGATCACAAAAGCTTCACTTCCAGCCTTCTTCTCCAAGGCTTCGTACAAAAGTTTGCCACCCCATGCCCATCGCTTCTCGAATTCAACACTTGGCTTCAAAACACGGACATCAGACGAGTTGGGAAGTCCCAGACTGGATGCAAAGATGCAGCAAACAATGAAGGCAATTGCGGAGGCGGCAAGTAGAGGCCATCGAATCTTGTGAAGCAAGTTATAGTAGCCGAGGAGTATGCGGCGGATCAAGCTTGTGCGAAGGGGTGTTTCGTCTTCACCCTCCGAGGATGAGTCTTGAATTTCCAGGTCGTCATTATCGGCCGCGGTGCGACGGCAGCAGCAACAGGAGATGCAGCAGTTGGAAGAGTCGCGGTACCCATCGTAAATGCACAGGCATGGGAACATCAAGAAAACGTCGAGCACATAATCGAAGGTAATCAGGAGCCCACAGAAGATGGAAAAGAGGCGCACTGGAGCCACAGGGCAGATTGCCGTCCCGAAGAAGGCACAAGCGGTGGTGGATGTCGTCAAGAACATGGCTGAAGCTGCATCGGGGAGAGCACGGGCGGCAATTTCTTCTGTAGTGGCACCGGGCATTGCAAGGCGAGCATTCTTCCACTTGTCAACTGAACCAAACGATTGAAAAACCTGTGAGGAATCGTGAAACCAACTAGCAGCGCTTGTCGTAGCAACCCTGAGAAGACTTCCGACACTTACCAGCAACAAATACGTGGTCCGCACCCATGGCAAAGACAACAAAGACTCCGATAAAGTTTAGGAAAGGGAAGAAGGTGAATCCACAAATAAAGTGATACACAAAGTATGCCAGCGGAAAACTGAAACTGATCTGAACCAGGCCAACAATGGTGAGGAAGAGACTCTTGGTGTGAACCATGATGGCGACTGCTGTGACCAAGGCCGAGCCAGTAGCCAGGAGCATGTCCATTCCAACAGCGCCGTCTGCCAACAATCCGACGAAGTCTTCGTATTGGGTGTCATATGCTCCTTCGATTCGCTCGCCGCCCTTGGAAAAGCTGTCTACGAGCTTATACAATTCGTCGACCATCTCATCATCAGTGGCAAAGATACTGCTTGTGTACTCAACATACCCAGTGCTGTCAAAGAACTCATCCAAGAGCGATGTGTAGAAGTACTGATTACAGTACTGAGCATAGTCTGCTTCGCTACCAGAAGGATTGGCTTCAATGTATTCAACACACACCTTCCAATCAGCCTCTGTCTCGGCTTGATAGGGCATCCACGCATTAGCCAATTCTTGACAATCCAGGGACAGTCCATCGGGAACAATCATGCGGGCATAGAGAGGCAATCCATGTGGAGGAAGACATTTTCGGGAAGCAGATTCTTCGCAACCGAAGCATAGACCTTTCTCCTCCAAGAGACGCTGCGTTTCTTCCTCGGCTTCACAGAGCTCCCTCAAGATCTCAGGATGCAAGGCAGAGTTTGTTGGCGTCGTAACCTTCCAGACGGGCCAGAGGCGGGTATCATTTGTCAAGCGTCCGTCAGTGTACCAAGCTGTGTCGCAGCCGTCCAAAACGCCGCTGGTGTCTTCCTGCAAGCGACGAGCCAAGAAGTCCATGAGCGCGTTGTCGGTAGAGATCATTGGGAAGGCTTGTCTGTAGTTGTGGGTTGATGTGACGATCGAGTTTATGTTGATGGTTTCACTTTCTGTAAGACGACGCCCGTCCGAATCTTCGGTTTCCTCCCAACCAGGTTGGACCACATTGATAAGCTCTTCCCAAGCAGCGTCGCCGCCCCAGAAGAGAACATCTTCGTGCTCGGTCACCATCATGAGCTGCGTCTGACGGTCGGCGATCAACGTGCCGCGGCTTGACCAGCCTCCTCCCTCTGTAGTGACGGAGAAGTCTCCATGGGCGAATCCAACGTAGGATAGTCCAAGACTAATCGCAAACGCCACCCAGAAATGCGTCTTCCTCCAACGCGCCATGCGCATTGCCTGTCGCTGCCAAAAGTTGTACACCTGAGGTGGCTCTTCGGCGGTGTTTTCGTTGTTCTTAGTACTCATGTTGTTGATTGCTGTTTGTTGCTTTGTTGCGAGTTGTTATTGTGAGCTTCAGTGGTCGTCATGTCGAAGGTCCACATCGGCTTTCAAGGCTCTCCTCCACGACTAACGATTGTGGGAACCGAGAAAGATCTTTTCCCGCCAAGAGCCAGAGCTCAAGTCCAAAGCAATCCAAGCCAGATGTGGGACTCAGTTAAGCTTGGTCACCTAAGACCGTGAATGACTCGTCGTACAACTCGTTACTTAAGCGAGTACACCTTCCCGTATTGTCTTTGTCACGTGTTTCATTGTAAGCACCGTGGTAGCAGTCGACAGGATATAAGAGTCCATTCCATCTATCAGGAAACGAGAACAGTGAGCTAGCGGTGCAACGTCAAAAAGGAAGAAAAATCAAGTAAAATTTTCTTGCACCGTACCTGCTCCTTTCCGGTGCTTCGTTCTGAGCCCTTGCTCCATAGACTTGGATCGTAAAGATCCCCTTCAAGCTTGCCTCTTTGAATTGACTCGTGAGGCTAGGCGTGCGTAAAACAGAAGCTCCGATTGCCCAACTAAGTCGTGATCTGCGCGGTCCACCATTGTTGCAATGCGGTCCGTCCGCACATCAGCCCTTGCTCCGAGCCTTCAGGGGAATCTTTTGTGTTTGGGGGCAGCTTGACTTCTTTGTCGGTTGTCTTAGTCGGCACAATGACATTGGTGGCACCGTGACAGCAAGGTTTGAGCATGGAAACTTGCAGTGATCGGCAGGAGACCACTTCATTGGCTCTAAACTGCAGTAGTGCAACACTGCGCACTGCACGTATTATGCAGGCTGACTCTGACTCATGTAGCCCGAAATCTCCCCCAGTCAAAGCAGATTGGTTGATAACTGTCTGTTTCCGGGTGACAAGCAAGGTCGGAGGGTATCCCTGATGGGAGAGGTTGGGGATCTATCCTTAAGGTATTGTTATGTCAACCATCTGCGTATCATGCTCCATGAAATCACCTATTTGCAAAAGAAGAAACCAAGTGGCAGCGATGTCAAAAGAGGGATGCAAGCAGGGTGCAGGAGGAGGCACTGACTTTTGCGTTGATCATGATGGATGGAAGCGATGCAAGGAAGAGGGTTGTGACAAGATTGCAGTAGGAGGCACTGAATTTTGCGTTGGTCTTGGTGGACTGATGGTGCTGCGAGTGAGGTTAGCTGCATGGAAACTAAGACTTGTCCGTGTGGTACCGAAACATCGTACCCGTTACTTACCAATCACGAGTGTTTGACATTATGGGTGTGTCGCTGACATCCAGCATTCTCATTTACTTGTCGCCACGACCTCCACAAAGTGCCACCATGGAGAGGAAGATTTGCATCCTACTTGCGCTGCTGCGGATTGTAAGCAGCGCTCGTGGGCTGCCGAAGCCATCTCGGAAGATTTCGTCAGTCCACGCGAAGCGAACCATCGTGAACCTCCGAGGGGGCGACTTGGGGCCCGTAAAAGGCAAGACTCTCGCCACAGCTTTCAGCGTCTTGGCTGGTGGTGATGCCATTTGTGGCACTCTCATGCCGCAAACATCAATGTCTTGGTTTGGAATTTATATTCCGAAAGATTCGTTGTCACACAAGTATCTCCACGGCATTGGTGCATCAGCAGCAACAATCGCAGCTGCCAACCTGTTGGCACTCTCGGGGAAAACTTCTGTAGAAAGAGCCATTGGGTATGGCGTTGCGGCTCGCATTCTCTCCATGACGCTCATGATGCTTGCAAACGACGAACGTGTGGTTGGAATGACCTTGAAGGCGTTTGGTGTCGCTTGGGCCGTCCTGGTTTTGATTGTCTATTCTCTCTTTTCAGGATCTGGTGACGCGCTAGCACTGACCAAGGTGGCCTCGATTGTCCTTGGAATCCATGGCTTGTACCTGTATCTGAAACCAGACACGATCCTTAAACGAACTTCCATTTCAGTGGGTCCTGGTAAGTGCGATGCTCGTGTTGGAGCGTTCAATGCCGTGACAGCATAGGTCTCATCATCTGTGGTGCTCTGGCACAAACCAAATAAATTCTTTCTGTCTGAAGATCCCCTGATCAAGGAGATACTGAGCATTGATGGAGCCTACATGTTTGCCAGCGCCATGACAACGGGTCTTTTGGCCAACGGCGTGGATCCTGTCAAGGTGGTTGGTTTCACAGCCATTTGTTTCGTACCAGTCTTGCTCAAGTTTTTTGAAGTCAGCGAGGCGCAAAAGCCCTGGGGGACGTTGGAACAACTCGCAGGCATGTCTGCGATGAGTTTCACGGCGTTGGTCATTGTTGGGACTCTCAATGATTAAGTAATACGAAGCAACACCGATTCCGACGAGCTTGGCTAGCTAGCTAGGCCAGTAGTAGTCTTGAACGAAAAGAGACTTGTTATTAGCCACCAATCAACTCTGGTTGTTGTTTCATGCGTACACAACAATCTCCTGCGCCTTGTCACACCACGGCGTGCACACAAGACCAAATTCTTCCGTGTGGGTCGGCCCTGGGAAAGGACAGGATGGATCCTGGTTTGGCTGTGGTGGCACATAGGTTTCTTGGTAGTGTCGTAACTTGGCTTGCAGTTTCCGAACCATGCTGGGGTTTGCTTTGGCCACGTCGTGTTGCTCGTTGGGATCTTGTGCCAAATCGTACAGGCTGTAGCTCACCGAGGTATTGCCTCCATCGACCGGTTCCTTAGTGCCCGGAGGGAAATGGTCGGGATCTTCGGGGCCACCACTGTCGCCTTGAATCAATTTCCAGTTTTGATAGCGTATCGCCGGCCCATACCACTGTCCGCCCTTGATGGGGACGTAGGAATACCCCACAAAGAGTTCCTCTCTGGGTGGCTGTTGGGTTGTTGTTGTGCCTTGGTTGTTATTGTTATGGTTTTGCAGAGCTCCCAGATGGTTGACTCCATCCAATGGCTTGCCATTCGGAGCTACACCCGACGCGGCGGCGATTGTCGGCAACCAGTCTACCACGTGAAAGAGATGTGGATATGTTCGATTGTGACCTCCCGGAACCTTCCAATGGGTCGCCAACGCAGGTCCACCCACAAATCCATCCCCCGTTGTACCTCCCTCGTAGAGTGTACATTTCCCTCCTCTCTTGGGATAATTGGAGGATCCCTGAATGGCGCAAACGGCAGTGGGCCCTCCATTGTCAGTGGTAAACACCACTACCGTATCCTCCCACATGCCCTTGCGTTTCAATGCCCGTACGACATGACGGATCCCTTCGTCGGCGGCCGTCAACATGCCCGCATACGTCTGCCGTCGTTTGTCCCATTTCAGCTTTTTGGCTATGTGGTCGTAGCGCCGCCGGTACTTTTCGGGGACTTCGTCAGGTGCATGGACTGCCTGGTATGCCAAGTAGAGGAACAATGGATGGTCATTGTCACTACTGTTGTCGTGTTGTTGAATCACTCGCATGGCCTCTCGCGTAAAGACTTGCGTGGAATAATTGCCTCGTTCATCCGGCAGTCTACTGCATCCGTGACCACAAAATTCCTCCTTGTCCCATCTCAAATCGTAAGCTCTGGCTCCATTCCGATGGGCAAAGTAATCTTCGCCTCCCGTGTAGAATCCAAAAAAGGTTTCAAATCCTCGAAAAGTGGGAGTCATTTTCCAATCGGCGTATCCAACGTGCCATTTCCCCACGGCGTGACTCTTGTATCCGGCGCGACGCATGACTTGCGCCAGTGTTTCTTCGTCCAGTGGCAATCCTTGTACCGAATCATAGGTGATGACTTGATGACATCCCGTGTGAAGAGGATACCGACCGGACAACAGGGCTGCCCGGGTGGGACTGCAATACGGAAGCACGTAGTATTGGTCCATGTACACACCTTCGGCCGCCAATGCGTCCAATGTGGGAGTGTGAATGCCCGATCCATGACGACCCAAATCATGAGAACCGAGATCGTCCATCACAATCAACAGAACATGGGGTTTCTTCTTCGTTGTCGTTGTCGTTGTCGTTGCCTCCTCATTGTTACTACTGTCAGCCAACATGACACTGCCAGTGGCGACAAACAGCACTGCCAGCCTTGTCAGGATCTTCATTTTCTTCTTCTTCTTTCCAATCCAATGTGATGGCAATATCAGCAGCAATCACAAATCACAATTTGGGCTGCCATCGAGGAGCCAAACCAAAAGATCTGCGTGAGGATCTTTATGAGAGATCCTGAACCCTAATTGAGAATCTTTGCTTCACGATTTTTAAAGTTCACGAAAGAAAAGCACTTCGCAAAGGAACAGAAGGGAGAAGACATGTCTCCTGGTTGTCTCTGCATGCAAGCCGCACTAAAGTACTCCTCGGCCGCACCCTGACGGTATTGATTTGATAAAACACCATGGACACACTACCGACTATTGTTCTGGTCAGGATAGTCAGCTACTTGTCGGTCCCTGAGCAGGTTCGTCTGGGCACACGAGTCTTCCCCGAAGCCTTTGCCGAACGAGGACCTGTCAATGTGGTCCTATCTCCACTAGAACCACTGCAAGGCATTCCCGATCTCGGTTGGTTCGAATGGGATCCACAACAAGACTGCTTGACGTTACGTCTGGTACGCGACAACCGACGTCGACCGGATCATGCCTGGGTGGATGCCCAAATTCCTTTACTATTGCCAACCGGCATCAACAACAATACTCCGGGAGTCTTTTTTCGCTTTCAAATGGAGCAGTTGCGACCCAATGGAGGATACTGTTCCTTGGTACTACGACGCAGCAAAGGAGAAGAAGCGACGGGACATTTGGAAATCAAATTTGATCATGCGCTCCTCCGAGGATACGGAAGTGCTGTGACGGAAGAAGACTTTGGAGTACCCACCTCTATAGAAGCCAGACAGTGGATTCATTTGCATGTTCAATTCCTTTGGTCCAAGCGACAAGTCCGATTGTCGGTGGATGGAGTGCTGGTCAAAACGGTACAGCTCAACGAGGAAGGATGGGATGGCGTTCACGCCATCTTTCTGAGAGGATACAAACATTATCCATGGGAACAACACTCCCAGGCTTGGAGTCACATCTATGTGGAACGAACTATACAGTGACTGATGGACTAGTCTTCTGTACGCAAATACGTTATTGACAGCTAGTAGCTACCAGTAGTCCAGTGAAACAAAAATTAAACCTCTACCGTGACCACGCACATTTTCACACTTTGGGTGAAAAGGAAACCTGCTTTTTCAGGCAGATGCATGGTGGTACCTGGTAGAGGGAATGATTCGATTCGATCTCTTGAAAGACCTATAGAACTCAAGGTCAACGTATGGACACCCTATCGTTGCTAGCTAGCTAGAGTGCCTTGCTCCAATTCCTTGCAACCCTTGCTCCGTCAACGAGCGGACAGACAAAGGGTGGATTGCACGGGAGGCATGGCAGGGAAAAGCCTGAACCTTCCGAGTGACTGTCGGAAAGAAAGATACACGTACCGTATCCACGGCTGAAAAGGGACCAATCGTGTCAGCTTCTGCTGCAGTCAAAACAGGACAGACATGATGTATCCTCCATACTGGTATCCGCTTCGAGGTAGCTGCACTTGGCCACAGTTTATCCAGAAGAGGAAGAGGCACGCAAGTCAACGTTCTGCTTGATATGGAGTCAGTTGATGTAGTTGGAGGGGTGCCGTCACTCGAAGAACCGACCCCAATTCGCGCCGACAGGAAAGAAGGTTTGTTTGTCTTGAGGCCGAAAGATCAGCTGCTGGGCATAACCGTGCGCGATGGTATCAATCGAGACGACTTTCGATATCAAGAGAGAGTTCGAGACGCTCCATTTCGAATTGGAACTCTGGTGTGGTACGTGGCGAACGGCGTCAAATCCCGCTTCGATTGGTATATTCCCACCACAATCTTGGACTACAATGTCGACGACCATGGCCAAGTCACCAGCTACGTTTTAGACATACCGTCCGTGCGAGATCCCCGCACTGGACAAATTGTCAGATTACTCAACGCCCTCAATGGCACGGAGCATATCATTCAAGAATTTGAGAAGGCATCCCCAGCCTTCCTGCTGGGGAGATGGGATATGCGGATCCCCTCGCGCCCACTTCTCTTGGAGGGAAAACGCATCTCTCGTCGCGATCAGGTAGCAGAGTGCGATGTTGTTCTTCAAGATGGAAAAGATCCAATCCTGTGGGGAATTAGCTACCAGCAACTTGCCCAGATTGCCGAACATCCCAAGTTTCGAAGAGGACAATCGAAAAGGATCAACGGAAAGTGGACAGGTGGCGGCATGACTATGTATGAAGTAGTGGAGGAAATCATAAAACCAGCAACAGCAGGGAGAGGCGTGGGTTATGCTCTGTACTTGAACCGCAAGCGTCCTTTACGGGCCAATTTCATGATTTCTCACGCTTGGGGAGAAGATTACGAGCATTTCCTGAAGGCGCTAGGGCAACTGGGTTCGCAAGGACCGTTCTGGATATGTGCCACTGCGATCTACCAGAATGATGATATCGAAAGCATGACAATCGAAAAGCAACTTGGATCAAAACCTCAGAATGGTCCATTTGCAACTGTGATCCGGGAGACATCAAGGATGATTGTTGTCTCGACCCCACAATGTGAAATCTACTGCCGCCTTTGGTGTGTGTACGAAATCTTTTGCGCCGTTGCGGTCAACGCTGCCATAGAGCTGCTGTACTTCTCAGCAACATCCGGGATATCATCACCGGTGGGAAGCCTCGGCAAGGCTTTCTACAGCAACGGGCTGGAGATGGCAAATGTCGTCATCGAAACCAGCCAAGCGGAGCGCGGAAAAGTTTGAGATCATGCAATGATCTGCTCTGAGATTCTCTGCCAAGATAGGGGATTTGGTCTGCTTGTCGATGTGGTCATGTGGGTTCGTGTCATGGCTCTCATTACCCAAGTGAAAAAGAACATTGGCATGTTTCGGGATTCAACCACGGGAACTCCAATCGGTGTCAGCACAGAAACTTGTGCTGCTGCTCGTATCGATGCAGCCATTGCACTCATGATGAAAGCTTGGTCCACGAAAAAGACATCCGAAAGTCCCAGCAACCCTGTTTTCAAGCGTTCTGCTTCAAAAGGGCATCATGCCCCCACAGACAACTCAACAAAACGATTTGCAGGAAGCAATGAAGTCAAATCAATGGGCGGAATGCTTGCGCTTACAGAAGAACGCGAGACAAAAGTCCTTGTTGGAGAACCTTTCTATGACAGTCCTTCAGATGATGATTTTTTAAATGCTATTTTGGATAATAGCCTTCTCCAAATGTTGGGAGAAACTGGCTTTCCCACCTTTTCACCCATCCAGAGTCCTTTGCCACAAGTTGGCAACCTTGACACTGGTGGAAGCTTAGGGGGGGAAGCCAGCCATTCAGTCTATAGCTCAAAACCATTCAAGGACGAAGTCTTCCGGGGAGACCGGAGCCCAGTGTCTACCAAGGAGCAAGAATCCTCAAGAAGATCCACCAGGGGTTCACGTCACTTGGATTTCCTCAACTTACCAGAGTTGACTGACTGAAAAGGCCATGAAATATGTCTGTGCACGGCCGATTAGCTCGCCGCTTCTGCTGTACCGGTAAGTCCTCAGTTACATTTTGGAATGAAGGCTTGTAAAAACCATGCAGTTCAATTAATTGTGAGGGTGGCGAGCACTGGCGAGGTAACCCAAGCAAGAATACTTTACTAAATACTAGCTAGCTAGCTAGTAGTAATGTGAGCATTTTCCTAGACTTTGAGCAACAGCCGGAGGGAAAAGATCATTCGTTTGGTTCGCCGTTAGGTACTGGTACCGGTACAGCTGTACCCAGCTCGACCAAACAGGGAACGCGATGTTTCCCAGTCTCTCTGGCTTGTACTTTCATTTCCTGGTTCATTGACAACATCACAAATCTCGAGGTCTCTGCATGCTCATACTTGCTTACCTCAGCAACAAATTGAATAGAGCAGTCCTCCAGGGAGAGACTAGCTAGTAGATTAGAATGAGCGTGATATTGGCCACTGCTGGGTTCGACCACAAGATTAGGTTTTGGGAGGCGCCGTCTGGGTGAGTGATAGAACGAGCTGTGAAAACTGGTGTCGGACAGCAGGCGCTGTATCCATTCTCACGAACGAGATCTTCTTGCTTTCTTTCTTTCTATAGTATTTGTTCTCGGATCATCAAGTATCCCGACTCCCAAGTCAACCGACTACAGATCACTCCGGACAAACAATTCATTGCTGCTGCTGGAAATCCGCATATCCGTCTCTATGAAATCTTGAATGGCAGCAGTGCTGTGGATGCCGTCGATCCACCCACACAACAACCCGTCTTGACGCTGGAGGGACACACGGCGGCTGTCACTGGTAAGAAGTATTATCATCACAACTAACTGAGGAGAATCGAATCGTATAGCAAGCTGGCTGGCCACGTACGGTATCAATCTGAGCCTCGATTTTATTGTGTGTATTTTCTCACTCTTTCATAATTATTGCAGCCATTGGGTTTCAAAAGGATGGGAGGTATCTTTATTCTGGATCGGAAGATGGGACCATCAAGGTGAGTCGATCGAGTACAACAGTGTACCCTTAATCTGGGCAGTGAGCAATTGTCATGCACAGTATCCAATCGTTTCGAGAAACCTCTCTTGATCGTGCAATCCTGATTGACCGCTAATACCACGTGTGCCATGATTGTTGACTCCATCTCCAATCGAGGTTTGGGACCTTCGAAATCCCAACTATTCCAGGTCATTTGACAGCAAGGGAGGTGTCAATTGTGTGACGCTGCGTCATGATCGAGACGAATTCATTTCGGGGGATCAAAATGGGTATGTCAAGGTATGGGACTTGGGTGGGAATGGGTGCTTGCACTCCATCAAGCCATCCTCGGCGCAAGTCCAGGGTGAACAGCAGCCACAACATCACCACGATGACGACCACGCCAAATCACAGCAACAACATCGACGAAGGAATCGATCTTACCTGGAAGGAACGGATCCCATTCAAGCCGTCGACATTTCCGAAGATTCTCGAACGGTGGTTGCCTGCAGTAACAAGGGACGTGTCTTTGTATGGCAGGATGACACGACACCACCGGCATTCGACGAACCTCACCATCATAATAATATGCCCATGCAATATCACCATCCTCATCACCACCATCATCCACATCTTCATCATCATCATCACGGCGGCAGCACAACCTCCACCTCCATGTTGCTCTCGCAGCCGCTCCGGACACGGTTTTATGCTCACAATGATGTACGACCGGGCAATTATTGTTTACACGGCAAAATGGCACCCGATGGACGACACTTTGTGACCACGGGCAGTGATGGATATGCCTTTTTATGGAATACTGCCACATGGGAATGTGCGCAAAAGCTGCGCAACTGCACCCAAACACCAACCCCCAAGTGGGTGTACGATGCGGCCTTTTGTGCCGACTCGAGCTATCTGGTGACTGCGAGCAGTGACAATATTGCAAGACTTTGGAACTTGAGAACTGGCGGTAAGTGAAGTCATACTGTACTGCTGCACCATCAAACCAAGAAGCAAGCGTGTCACTGTTTTCTCACTATCAGTGCCTTGCCCTATGGTCAGACGTTGTTCGGCAGTATCACGGGCATCAATCTGCAGTCACGTGCGTTGCATTGAACGACAGCAGTGTCTAAGATCAATGCTGCTCAAGGCGTGACTCATGCAGCAAACAAACAACAAACCTGCCCGATGCGATGCCAGCCATCCTTTGGTAGTGAGAAAGTTCGAGAGAGATGGAGCCGCCACTAGTGTGGGCAGGAAAGATCCCATCACCGTCCTGCTACCGGTATGCATAGTCTTAGTAGCAATGCCCGACTCTCTACAATTTCCGCATTAGTTAGACGTAGAGTATGCAGTACCAGCCCAAGAAGTAAAGAGAGGCAGATGTTGGCGGCCCGTCAATCAATTGTCAGACCACCTTTTGAAACAAAAAGTTCAGGCAATCGTTCATAACCGGACCAGCAGCTCCACTACTTCCCACAGTAATGTCGCTGCAATCAAACCGAAAGGATATCCCGTCAGGGCAGATGTTACAGCTTCCACACTCCTTCCCTTCCACCGCCGCCGAACAGGATTCAAACACTTCCTTGTTGCTCAGGGGCGTGGCAATCACCCGCAATTCATATACATCAGGTGTGGTTGCAAAAAAGTATCCATACAGGTCATCTTTGAGTTTGCCGCCATCCCCAAACGTCATGTCAAAGGTTGAGTCCCCGCAGAGATCACCCTCGATGCAAAACACACCGCTACATGTTTGACGAGCAAGGCAAAATTTGGGACGAGGTGAGGAGGAAGATGGTCATTCCAACAAAGGCAAAGGCAAAAGCAACAGGCAAGGTCAGTACCGTTCATTAGTTCTGTTTACATGTACGGTACGTACCCAGAATTGCAACCACCAACGCCTCGGACACAAAACAAAGGACCACTCTCGATATCGGCAATGCAGCCACAAAAATCATTGTACTCCAAACCCAACTTTGCCACGCCGTCTTGACATTTGGGTCTAGCAATGCAATTGTTGACAATGCCACCAATGCCGAACGTGAGTATCAAAAAGATTGTGTTTAGAAATTCACCGGCGTGTACCCGTGTTGGATGCGCTGCCAAGCAGAGGACAAGTAACAGCACCGCGGATGCGGGGCGCATTGTCGATGTCATTGCAGCCAGTGATCCTTAACGACACAACCAAGCAAGTCAGATGTATGCGCACTCAACCGAGGAACAACAAACTGAGCGGTGACCGGAGAAGGCGGCTGTGATTGGAGGCCTGCCCTTGTGGTTCTGTTGAGATTGACATTCAGTCGTCTTGATTTGACCACTTGTGGTTTGCTCCCTCATCTTTTGCCTTCCTGCCATCGCCAATGGAGCGTTGAGGCAAGATAGGTACTAGAACACCGTACTACTAGTATGGCATGCTGTACATAGCAAGATTGAGCCGTCATTTATTTCTTGACAGCTGTACCGGTATGTAACACTAACCCTACTACTTTTCGCTTATGTTTGCTATTTGTACATACAAAGTTTTTGGCTTTGATGAAAATTATGCAGAGTTTTAAGATGTCTACGATGTAGGAGTAATGAAAATATGGAGGAAAGATAGCCCTGGTGTTCTTTGCTGTCATGCTCACACGCCAGAAGAAGAGGAAGAGGAGGTTGATCCACGGCTGCTGGACGATCGCTTGCTCTTGCTTCGGTGCTTCTTGGAGGTGACAGGTGGTGAGACCTTGAGGCTCTGGAGACAATCCATGGCCATGTTGCCATCGGTGCTGCCGTACATCTCGAGCATTTCAATCACGTCATGGCTGCTCATGTGCTTCATGGAATCCGCAATGAATTCGCCGCGGGAACGGAGAGGCTTCTTGCTGCTTCGGCTACTACTGGAAGAAGAGATGGACTTGCAAGAGGCGGTGGAGCTGACAGAGTCAGAAGTCAAGGAGCGGAAGAACTTCATCTTTGTGTTGAGTATTAGATTAGATTAGAGCGGTTGGTGGGAGTGTTTTGCTTGCTGCTTTTTGGTTTTGCAGTTTATGGATTGTGAGAGAGTTGGAAGGAGAAAATACTGATTTTGCTTTGAGCTCTTGGGGGATGGAAGATAGAAGAGTGGGGAATGTTGGATGTCAACATGTCAACTTGGATGGTCAAGAAACCAAGGGCAGATGGGTCTTCGAAGGAAGGTCGAAAAGAAACATTCGAGAAGCCTGGAAGAACTTGATATTTAATATCTGCTCTGTAAGACACTGAAAGAGTAGACTCAATGACTCATTAATACGCTAGGTCAAAGGCTAGCTCGGAAACCGGAAAGCCTTCCATAGAAATTAAAAATTGCTCTGGCGGTACCGGGACATAACATATTATTATGATGTATGGACTGCGGTGGATTGTTCTGGTTTCTGGTACACTGGTACCGGTTATGTCTGGGAGAAAGGAAGTTCTGCTTCGGGCTCCATCTCTGTCTGGAGTTGGAAGGTTTCGAACCTGCTTCTAGATCTAGTCTAGAGACTACTGTACTCGTAATCTCCAGAAGCCCAGACTGGACTCAAGAGTAGCATGGTCCGAAGTACATGTACGTTCGAATGTTCGAATTCAATAGTCTAATTCCGTTACGCCTGCAACGGCCAGCTGGCAATTATAGATTATAGATTATAGTACCTTTAGCTGTACCGGTACCTCTACTAGCTACGAGTGCTTTGAATGACCTATTGCTCCTACTCTTGCTACCTAGCTAGCTGGTGGCCAACGCTCTGGCAAGCCAAGTTCTCTGTGAGCCTTCTCCAAAAGAAACCAAGCACTTCAGTAGTAGAGAGTAGAGAAGCTGAGAAGCCAGTCTGGCAATCGAGGACAGCCCTAGGTCAGAAAAGGAACCAAGTAGCTGCCTATTCTGGCGACCTATGGCTTCTCCTAGCTAGCTAGTACCGCTTGCTACTAGCTTGCTAGACCTTTTGTTTGGCTTTGTTGAAAATTCTATTAGTTTAGTAGGAAAGGTTAAGAGACCTAAGATGTAATAATGAATATACATGTATGGAAGAAAGATAGCCCCTGGTGTTCTTTGCTGTCATGCTCACAAGCCAGAGGAGGAGGAGGTTGATCCACGGCTGCTGGATGATCGCTTGCTCTTGCTTCGGTTCTTCTTGGAGGTGACTGGTGGTGAGACCTTGAGGCTCTGGAGGCAATCCAACCCCAGATTTGCGTCGGTGCTGCCATACAGTTCGAGCATTTCAATCACATCATGGCTGCTCATGTGCTTCATGGAGTCGGCAATGAATTCGCCGCGGGATCGGAGAGGCTTGTTACTCTTGCTGCTTCCGCCAGAAGAGCTGGACTTGCAAGAGGCCGTGGAGCTGACAGAGGAGTCAGAAGTCGAGGAGCGGAGGAACTTCATCTTTGAGTTGAGTATTAGATTAGATAAGAGCGGTTGGTGGGAGATGTTGTTTTGCTGGCTGCTTTTTGGTTTTGCAGTTTTGGAATTGTGAGAGAGGTGGAAGGAGAAGAATATTTGATTTTGATGGGCTCAGCAGCTTGGTGAGAGAGCAAGCTGCACTAATATCGAAGAAGAGCGCCGAATGTTGGAATGTCAACTTCGCTGGTTAAGAAACCAAGGGCAGAAGCAGCATTGGAAGGGACGACCAACCTCTAAACAGAAAAAGAAACATTCGAGAAGCGTGTTCTTGATACTCTAGGTACTGTAGCTTACTGCACTCTGAGAACTTGCGATCTTCACTGGAAGACATATGCATAGGCTCTTTGTTCAATCGGTATTCTTCAATGGCTCTGGTAAGGAGACACTGTGAAAGAAAGTACAGTGCCACAACCTGAAGAAATACAGTAGAAATATGCAGTCATTTTGAGTGTTCTTTTCTAAGTTGTGACTTTCTATTTATTTCTTGGCTATTATTACAGCGTACCGCTACTGGTAGGATACAGGCATAAGCTCAGGCATACAGGTACCAGGTACCGGTACAGTATCATGCACGACATTGTATCATACCGGTAGGTAAAAGGCTCGGGCGGAAGGCGAAGCCTTCGTTCCAATTACATGTAATTATCAAAAATTTGGGCTACAGTAGTATTGGGAAACTGCCGGTACTGGTACTCTACTGTCTACTGGCGCACTGGAGTTGATCATACTAGCTAGTATTATAATTACGACCGTACCGGTAGCTTTCAGCGGAGGCCAAACCGTGCGGAGAAATCCAGTGCCATCCCAATCAGCATTCCAGTTGCCAGGCTGCTGGCAAGCCAAGTTCTCCGTGAGAGCCTTTTCTAAAACGAAGAACCAAGTAGACTACGTAGCTGGCTAGATCTAGTAGCCTGGCAATCGAGGATAGCCGTAGTTGCTTCAGCAGGAGCTTGCTCAGTTCTTAGGCTCAGTAGGACTTGCTCGCTTCTGGCTTCGGTGAGCTGATGAGATGAGATGCAAGGCAAGCAAGTCGAAGACATGGTGGTACTATGACCGAAAACAGCAAAACAGCGTGAAAGACACCAACAGCATCTTGGCTCTAATTCTATGGCTGAAATGCACAAGAAGCCCATGAGAGCATCAGAGCATCATAGAATTGGTGGTTCAAGAACGCTAGACAAGCTCAGCTGCTTGCTCTTGCTTGATCGTGAGGCTGTCCTCATAAGAAGAGCGAGGAAGACGCAAAAGAAATAATGTTGGGGAACCAAACGTCCGGGATACCAAACACCAGAGCCACACCAGCCGCTATTTATTTGCTTTATGCTCTGCTGCCCTGTCGAAGAGTCGAAGAACTGTTATGAAAAACGGACACTACACGAGCAAAAGGTAACTTCAGCTTTTTCGATTGGAAGAATGCAACAAATAAATCGTGATCGTAGCGGCAGCGGTAACTACAAGAATGCCAACAGTGGGGTAGCTGTCTTGCTTTATCTTGGGTCGGTACATCGTAGCCTGATGAGCAATAATAAGAAGAGCCAGGGAAATCGGAAAAGCTGGAAGGGAAGGGGGTGCGGTGAATATGTGATCTTACCCATCTTTCCTATTGAGGCATGGAAACTGTCCAAGCTGCAGTCTTAGTACAGTGTACGGCTCCTAGCTAGCTAGCAAGCTACCGTAGCTGAATGCGGTCCACAGGACCAAAAAGCAAGAGGTGCAGCTGGTTCTGTTCTTGGCTACTGGTCCCTTGTTGCAGCTTTTGTGTTGCTGACAACTGGTGACTTTGCAGAGATCGTAGTTTGGCTTCTGACTACCGTAGCTACCCGTAGCTACCTACCGTACCGGTACGTAGCTGGGCGCACCAAACTAACAACCTGGAGCTGTAATATATATTATTATTATTAATTCGATTTGCATGCCGGCAATGCCGCCGATGGCGATGGTCCCCCCTTGGACACAACCGTTGCGGGTCGAGATTCATGCATTGGCGATGCTCTGCTATGCCACACATGCTATTTCTAGCCAGCCACGACGTAGCTGGCTGTTTGTAGGGGTCTCTTCCCTTCTCGGAAGATTCTTCCATCGAGATCCTTTGTCTTGGTGCCTGTTGAGCTTTGGATGAGAACTACCAGTACAGTACGATATCATGGCATACCGAGAGGAGGTGTTGATGAAACGAGTGGCAATTCGTTTCGACGACGGGGTGTTCTATTCTGGATTGATCCAAAAAGTGGAGCTGTCAGTGGGAGAAGATGGCAAAATTGAAAGCCAACACTGGGTAGTCTTTGACGACGGCGATCAACGTTTCTTTGATATTGCAGAGGAAGAAGGGGACGGGAGACTAAAGTGGGAGGAAAAGTCTCAAAAGGCTTCTGTTGCATCCGCATCCAACAATAGCAGTGGCAAGCGAAAAGCCCCAGACAGAGCAACTGCGTCTGGAAGGAAGATCAAGAAGAAGGAGGAGCCAGAGGAAGAAGTTGATGTTACCGTTGTGGCAGTAGCACAGACTCGCAAGAAGGCAAGCCTAAGCAAAGCAAAAGAAGACGACGAAACTGAGTCTGATGATGGGTCTGAAGTCCAAGCAGAAGTACAAGAAGACGCTGACTATCTAGATACCCTGGCCCCTGCTGATTTCCCAGATAGTATCCCCAAAGTGATCAGATTGATGGACCAACTTGAACCTGGGATGAACTATTATGAACGCCAAGCTGACAACAGGGGAGGTAAGTTGGGGGTTCGACCAGACTAAAGTTTCATTGGTTGGAACTGCTTCTCACTAAGTGTTTGGATTGGTGTTTACTGACAGAGTGCTCCAAAATACGAAAGAAGCTCCGTGACTTTGCCCAGAAAGAACCGGACCATCCAGGAATTGCTCATTGGGTAGAGACAAAGAAATGGAAGCCACCCAATTTGGAGTCCCTTCGAGCTTTGATTGAATTGCTCAAGACCAAGATCGACTAGCGAGTTAGACTTCGATTAGCAGGGGTCTGGCTCGGTGGCGTGCTTTGGAATCGTAGGTAGCTATTTGGACCAGTCAAACAACATGCATGTTTTGTGGAAGCTGCCATCATCTTCGCAGGGTATCCAATATCATATCCAGGTAGCACCCACGCAAAAGCTCCTGGTGGCTAATCCAACCAACATATTGCGATACGAAGGGGTGGGGCAAGAAGATGATAGACTTGGAGGAGGATAAACTAAATAATAGCTGACTGAACGCACTCTCCATGTGTTCGGAGATCCAAACACCATAGTTGACCTTGACCTGAGCAATACAACTGATTTCTTTTACTGGACTAGCTACCGGTAGCTAGTAGATCAGAGAAGCGATAGGACAGTCGGCTTGTAGCCACCAGTTAGGTCAAGCAACGCCACCAATTGCAGTGCTTCCAAGTACTAGCTAGCTAGTATCTCTAAAGTTTTCAACGGTGTCAGCGTGCGGCCAGAAATGACACAGGGTGCACACATTATTCCACGATCCACGTCTTAGTTTTCCGCGTTCCCGACCCACGCTTGCACACGTCTCATTCTGACGCTTGTCGTTTCCAACCGTCTCATTTTATTCTTCATCTTCTTCCAAACCCATGCGGAAGGAAAAGCGAAACAGAACAAGCCCAAGCCCAAGCCCATGCGGCCCATCAAACAACAACCATATCATTAATTAACACAATCAAAGGAACAACCACTGGATCGCCCAAACGATGGAATCTTTCATGACAACTGGAGGCGACACATCGGCCGAAGCGATTCTCCAAAACGTTTTTCGTCGAGCCCATCATGAGGACCCAAAGACGGGTGGGATCGAATTGGCAGTTGGGTTGCTACTCCAACACCCCAAACTGGCTCGGAAAACATACTTGACCAAGAGGGCACCCACTGCCCGTTATCCGCTCTTTATCCTGGCGCAAAGTGGCGCTTCCTTGGCACAGGTGAAATCCGTTTTCGCCTTGTACTCGAGCGAGGAGCACAAGGAAAAATTGCAAAGCGTTCATCAAGGTTCCCACTCTCGCATTCTTCCCAAACCAGAGCTCATGCAAGTCATGGAAGGTGGAAAAGCCAGTTTCGATGTGCTGTCCTTTCTCGTGGAAAATTGTCCTGGATTATTAACACACAACGATGCCATTGGTGGCTTGGCCGTGCACAAATTTTTTCGTCGTTGGGGCTATGGATTTTACCGCGTCGAAGGATCCCAGAAATGCGACAATCTTGCTTTTTCCATGATTCAGAAGTGTCCCGCATGTTGCGATTTTGATCTCTTTTGGTTGGCGTTGCAAGTGGAAAGTTCGGACAAAATTGTGGACATGATTGTGGAGCAATTACTAAAGCGAGGCGACATTGATAGTCTCGAATACAAGGGTACTGCGCTCGGTCCGGCGAGATCTGGTTTCGACTTGTCTGTGCGAGACGTTAAAGCCATTACCAAGCTCTTGGAAAAGGCCGAAACATTCTCCTTTGACCCATTTCCGGGCGCGCTGACACCGGACACTTTTCGATCCCTCATGAATGGAATCATGGACGCCAAGACTTTACGTCAGGTCAGCCTTTCATTGGACGGTCAATTCCTGGAAACTCATGACGCAGCGCGAACCCATTTCCGACGGGCGTTGGCCAATTCAAGCTTTGAAGAGTTCAAGCTATTCTTGCCAGTGTTTGGAAGCACTGCGGACGCAATGGTGCACGACATGGTTGCGGCATTTCGTTTCCGAAACAAACCTCTAGTGAGCCTGACGTTGGAGAATGGTCACTTTACATCCATGAACTCCCTCATGAGATTGATTTCCTCTGATTGCACCCGATCTTTGGTGTTTCGTTCGGTTGGTTTGCCGCAACATGCGCATACCGGTACGAACACCCCCGCACCCGACAATCAATGCTTGGAAAGTTTTGAGATGGTGGGGGGCTACTTGACGCCCGCGACCGATACCGATACCACGGCGGCACTGATCCGTTGCCTGGGTGCGATTCCGTCATTGGAACGGTTGGTCTTCCAACGACCGAAAGAATCCCTTTCGGAAGATGCGACAGACCTCGTGGCGGATCTGCTACGTCGATCGCAAAACCTGAAAGAACTCGATCTCCCGCTCGACATGCGGGTTGATGTTTCCTCCATTTGCGAGGTGTTGAAGGACAACAATACACTGCGTAGCTTTTCCTGTTGGCCAGTCGTTGGGCACGAAGAAGCCCAAGCCAGGAGCCGATCGCAAACTGTGAAAGTCAACACCACGCTGATCCGGTTCGACTGTTATGGATTGGGCTGTCGTGATGGGCGCGATTCTTTCACTGAGACCGACTACCATTTGTACTTGAATCGATTTGGCAAACGGCAGGCACGAGACCCCGAGACCTCGAAAGCAACATTTGTCAAACTGCTTGATGGTGTTTCCAACGACAAGTCCTTCCTGCATCGCTTTATCGTTGCCGCCGAGCATTCGGTACTGTATGGGTTGCTGCGAGAAAACCCCACCGTTTGGTTGGCGCAAGGGCACGCCAAAAGACCGCTGGAGCGTTCCTTTCATCCCAATTCTCCAGCTCCAAAGAAGCGTCGAATCGCCTGAGTGCTGGAACTTTGGGGTATTGGGTACATGAGAAACGACAACATAAGAACAAACCTAATCTAAGTAACTTTTCAAACACTTTGTCATCCTTGCTATTGTTTTGTCCACTTGGGTCCATTTCACTTTGCTTTATTGCTCTTTTCGGAATGCTTGCTGCTTCCATTCAACTCTTCCGAGCACGCTCGCAGAAAGCAGGCACCAACATGTCCAAAACCAACCATAAGCACCCATTTGAATGAACAGCAACTGAGGCGGTGTCGTTTCTCTTCAATCCAAAGGAGGCTTCGTCGCTCTTCAACCTTAAGCCGGCTGCATTGCTATTCAAACCACAATGATGGTGCCGCTTGAGCCTAGTAAGGAGCCTCAGGAGGTCGCTTCAGCCAGCTTGTCGATACTACGACTAAACTACTTTTTTACTTCCCTTGGAGCCGTGGCGGTTGTAGTGGATCCACAAAACGCGGAGTCCCTGCAAGTAGGCCAGATGAAATCCACTGATGGGCATGCAGTAGGCACTGACACCACCAAGTGTCACCACGGCCCATCCAAACCAGACAGGAGCTTCTTCATCAAGTCCTTGTTTCTTCATTTCCAGAGCCATGTGACGAACATAGTATCCTTGTATCATCGCAGCAAACCCAATCACCTGGAACCAAAGCGTTGCTTCTCTTGCATAACGCTCATGGATATCTTCCGTGGCCACAATGCCGCCATCTGCAATGATTCTCCACAAGGGCTCTGCCAATTCTGGAACCAGGATACCCACTGTGTTGTGCAAGACACCAGTTGCAAAGAAGATGTTGCCAGTCAGAGACATGATACCTGGTACTAGTACTACAGACTCTTTCTAGATAGTAAATTTATGCGAAAAAATGGAAAAATGGCTCGGTGAGGAGAAAAGATCGGCTTGGTGACATCCATTCGTGGTGTTCTTTGGAAGCGTTCTTTGGATTTGAATCTTCAATCAATCAATCAGCGAGTCACGAGTCGAGTCGAGTCGAGTCGAGTGACAGTGACAGTCACGAAAGTTGTCTTGATAACTGACGTCATTCAGGACTGAGTCAGTCTCTCAAGACTGACTCAAAGCAGCTCTCAAAGCACAAACTTTGGGCTGTACCATTATTTGTACTTGAAGAATGGAGGTGGCAAACAGCCGGCACGAGATCCCGACCTCCAAAGCAGCCTTTGTCAAACTGCTTGATGGTGTTTCCAATGACAAATCCTTCCTGCATTGCTTTATGGTTGCCGCCGAGCTTTCGGTACTACATGGGTTGCTGCGAGTACTATATGGGTTGCTGCAAGAATACCCCACCGTTGGTTGTTGCAAGGGCATGCCAAGCAAAAGGCCGCTGGAGCGTTCTTTGCATTCCGATTCTCCAGCTCCAAAGAAACTTCGAATCGCCTGGGCGCTCTTTGGGGATTGGTACACAAGAAATGACAACATACTAGTAAGAACAAACATAATCTAAGTAACTTTTCGAACCCTTAGTCATCCCTGATATTTGGTTTGTCCTCTGGGGTCTTTTCGCCTTGTTTTTTTGCTCTTTCGAAACTGCTTGCTGCTTCCATTCAAGCCAGAACAAACAGAACTCAGTCCCCACGACGCTTGTCCAAAACCAACCACAAGCATCCATTCGAATGATGAACAGCAGTTGGGGCTACAACTGTACTTCATCGCTCTTCCATCTGAAGGCGGCTTCGTCGCAATTCAAGCCAACATCATGATGAGCCGCTTGAGCCTCATCATGAGCCTCAGGAGGTTGCTTCTGCTTTTGAATACTACGACTAAGCTTCTTTAATGCTTCCCTTGGAGCCGTGGTGGATCCACAAAACGCGCAGTCCCTGCAAGTAGACCAGATGAAATCCGCTAATGGGCATACAGTAGGCACCAACACCACCAAGTGCCAACATGGCCCATCCAAACCAGATAGGAGCTTCTTCATCCAGTCCTTGTTTCTTCATTTCCAGAGCCATGTGACGAACATGGTATCCTTGCATCATCATGGCAAACCCAGCAAACTGGAACCAAAACGTTGCTGCTCTTGCATAATGTTCATGGATATCTTCGGTGGCCACAATGCCGCCATCTGCAATGATTCTCCACAAGGGCTCTGCCAATTCTGGAACCAGAATACCCACTGTGTTGTGCAAAACACCAGTTGCAAAGAAGATATTGCCAGTCAGAGACATGATACTGCAGTACTAGTAGCGGATGCTTTCAAGCTTATTTTTCTATTATTGTGGTCGGAACGAAGAGGAAAGGGCTTTGATGATGGTTTTGTGAGCAGAAAGATCCACCTCGATGAAATCCATTCGTGTTGTTCTTTTGGAACCTTCTTTGGATGATTGATTGATTCGATTCCATTCACTCATGGAATCACGAAAAGTAAGTTGTCAAGATCACTGACGTCATTCAGGACTGAGTCAATCTCTCAGGACTGACTGTCACTCACTCAAAGCGGATCATTGTTGCGGATGGATTTCAGATCCAAGTCTGTTACACACATCACAAAAGATTTGCTTGGCACTTGGTTTTTTTGTGGAAGAAAGGCAAAGTCAGAGAAGAGCATGGTCGGATCGGACAAAATGGAGGTCAGAAAAGCAATGACAGTGTCCAACCTTTGGATGACGATTCTGCTGATTGCAGCAACTCTGCTTCCGTCCACAACTGGCTTCCAATTGCCACCAAAGCATGCGCTGCGAACTTCCAGCACTACTTGTCGGCTGCCTGCACCAATAACAATACTCCAGAAACCCCACACCAGCACGGTTGCCTTATTTTCCCAAAACGACGACTACTCGAGAGATGTGCGACTACGAGAAGAAGCGGAATCTCCCTTTCGTCGCGTTCGATTCTTTCTCTATGCCGTTTTGGGTGGCGGTGCCGTGACATCGTTGTTCCTCAGTCTGGCCAGGATTGCCGCGGCATCCTCGGGCGTCAACACGGATTTGATGCAAGAATCCGTCGTCAATGCGGGGGTGGATTTGGCGGGAATTGTGGTTCTTACATTTTTGTTTCAACGTGATGTCCAAGCGCAAGACTCACGGTTGAAACGCGCCACCAAAGGCGCGTCTCTGGCCAAGCTGGCCATTCGAGTCCATAAAGGCCTTTCGGATCCCCTCTTGTGGGAAGACAACGACAATAACAACGACAATCCAAAAGCATCGTACACCAGTCTGACATTGGCCGATTTGCGCCGCAACCGAGGCATTGAAAAGCGCGTGGTCATTGCCGCTGCCGGACCCGACAAAATGGATCAAGTCTTGGCCGAAGCACGATCGGTGGGAGACGCCTTGGAAGAAAATGATCTGGTCATTGTCCCCGTAGTGTTGCCCTTGGCGACGGCACCCGCTGCAGACAATTTGCCACATTGTGTGGCATTGCCTGTGGGTACATCGGCCTGGAAGGCCGTCTTGGACGATGAAACCCAAGAAGCCCGGAGTCAAGGTGTGGACATTGAAGCGGAAGGAATTTGTGTCATTCTCAAGAAGAATGGACGTGTGGGTCAGCGTACTCGAGGTATCTTCTTGGAACGAATGGTGGGGGAAGTGGAGGAACGAAGAGAAATGGGAATGGATGTGACGAATATTTAGTCAGGAAATATAATTGGTGATGCACATTCTAGAGTTGCCACAAGGTCTAGAGAGCTGACGGTGAAGCCTAGCTATTGTTACAAGTATACCCTTTCTAAATCGACAACTTCTAAATTGACAATCGACTAGTAGACAATTCATGTGCTTGGTTTTGTAACAATGATTTGTAGTATAGAATTTTTTCATGTGATACACCAGCTACTAGTGAGATACCCAAATCCCCATCCAGTTTATGTACAGCATCTATAACTTCCACATGTTCAAAAATAGCTGTGCCTCGCCTACTGTGGCTGCATTCTTTTTCTTGGAAGAGTCCTTTTTGGCAACGGAATAGGGCTTGTGACTTCTGCTGGAGCGATTTGAGTGTGCCTGCCGCTTTGCCTTGCCGCCGCCTTTGCAGGATTTCGTCTCAGTTCGCTGTATGATCGGTAGATTGTTACTTTCAGAGTCGACATCAGTATCATCGTCGCCATCGCTTTCTAACAGACTTGCAATGGCAGCGAGTTGGGGGTTGGAGGCAAAATCGCGAGGGAGTCCTTCCATGAACAAGGGACACAATGCTTCCTCTCCTGAATCGGCGCCATTATATTCTTTGTCGGCACCACTCATCTCCATGGCTGTGTTTCTTTGCCCGTCAGCGTTGCGTTTGGAGGAAGGCATCAGCGTTCATTGTGCATCGTGGGTCTCTGCGATCCACGAAGCACGATTTTGAGCGAAGGCCCAAAAGCTCCAACGCTAATGACGGGATTGCTTGCAATGGACGACTTACTTGTTCAGACGTGGCTGGTTGGATGAGAGAGCCGATCCAAAATCCAAACCCCACACAGCATCTTTGGACATACCTTTTCTTTGTCGCACAACCAAAGCATGTCAAAGAAACCCTCGTCCCTTCTCACAGCCGCCATCGAATCAGCCACGCCGCAATTCGTCAAAGACTTTATAAGGAATCGACAATTTGAGAACACAATGAACAAGTCCGACAACACCACCGACGAGGTGGAAGATCTGACGGAAACCATCAGCTGGCTGGACGGAAACAACCACCGCTTTGGAGCACTCGTACACAACGTTCTAACTCCTCAAGAATGCCAAACGTTGATGGATCGTTCCGAACAAGTTGGCTATGAACAAGCCTTGGTCAATGTGGGAGGTGGCCGGCAGGTCGCCATCGGCGAAGTCCGAAACAATGACAGATGCATCATTGACGATCCCGACTATGCCGAAATGCTGTATCAACGACTCCTCTTGAAATTACAGGATCATCCTAACGTACTGGGTCCCATGCTGAACTGGAAACATCTCGACAAGCAATATGCCGTGGGCCTCAATGAACGCCTCCGCATTCTTCGGTACGACCCCGGCACCTACTTTGCGCCTCACTCGGATGGGTACTATGTCCGACGGAACGAAGCCGGACCCAGTCGCCGTGGCGAAACCTCCCGCGTGACACTACTCTTGTATCTCAATGAAGGATACCAAGGTGGGAATACCCGCATGCTTCGCACCTTCAACCCTAGCAGCAAGGGACGCGACATTGTCCCGCGGGCCGGTTCGGTTCTCTTGTTTGAGCACGAATGTTTGCACGAAGGAGTTACACTGGAAAAGGGACGAAAGTATGTGGTGCGCACCGACCTCATGTACAGCGAGAAAGGCCCGGGGAACGAGTATTCCAAGGGACTGTATCAGGACAAACAGCCAGCCCAAGGGGCTCCAGATAGATAAAGCCAAGCGAACGAGCATGCAGTTACATAACTCGATCAATTAATCAATTTACCCATCGACAGACCTTACGAATACCAGGACAGAACTGAATGACCAATCACGTGAAGAGGCGAAGCACCGCCCGAGCGCCCACTGATCCGTGGCCCGTGCCACCTCTGCTTCCGAGGGCACTCGCACCTCTCTGTGTGCGCCCTGCCATAGGTACCAGAACCAATACGGTAGGAAGTACCGATAGGAGCTGGATGTGTCCGTTTGTGGGTGTAGCGGTGGTCTTTGTACATGTAGCTGTTCTTTGCCAGACTAGTAGACTAATCTGCATACCGTACATACCGTACCGGTGCATGAGCTGTGTGTTGGAAACACACATGGTTGTGGCATCTGTAGTTTGTGGCTTGCCCAACGCCGACAGGCTTGGTCGTGTTAAAAACATTTTTGATCATTGGCTTCGTGCAGCGCGAGCCTGGATTTGAAAGTTCTCAGCCGTTTCTTTCTTCTTTGCGGTTTTCCGGAAAACGCAACCGCTCTTTGGATGGATCCGATCCACCGAAGCCATCTCGATCCATTGATCAGACTTGACCTACAGTATCGAAGACAATAAGCACGAGCTTGGTATTGTGCATATTGTGCGAATTATTTGCTTGTTGGCCATGTCTCCAAAGAAACGAAGTGCTGACCAGGAGGATCTCAATGTGATTGCTCCTAGTCCGAGGAAACTCCGACGAAGCGTCAACGAAGACCACATTGAGACTCCCAGGCAAGTGGCAGCTGTCTCGCAAGCGGCAGTGATCACTGATTCCAGTAGCCGGAGAAGTAACAACGGCAATGGCAGCAACGATTCTTTATTGACCCCGTATGAAGGACGCAAGCCGCGAGTTCTCCAAAACGCCAGTGCTCGTCGAGCCATTCGATTAGCATCTCCCGCGGCATCGGTAGCACCTCCCGTCACTCCCTCTCATTTATCCAAAGATGACAACAACAACAAAGACAAGACCAAGAATGTCACTCCATCGCCAGAAGACTACAAATCTCCTGCCAAACGCCGTTTGATTTTCGGCAAACTCGTGGAAGAAATTGTCATTCAACCCAACACCAAACGAGTGTACAATTTGGTAAAAAAATTGACGGGATCGCTAGGAGGCAATGGCTCGTGTGGGCCCATTTACGGAGAACTCACTCAGGGATCCATGCAAAAGATGGTTAACCTGATGAAACAACACACTCAACTCGACAAGACCAGTCGCTTTATCGATGTCGGATCCGGAATTGGAAAGCCCAATTTACATGTTACGCAGGATCCCGGCGTGGCGTTTAGCTGTGGCATTGAAATGGAGTTGGATCGATATCGATTGGGATTGAAATGCCTCCAACGGGTCTTGCAAGAAGCCGTCAACGATGCGCACGATGACGCCATCAAGGACAAGGTTCGACACAACTGCATGTTTTTGCATGGCAATATCATGTCGGCGAGAACCTTTGATCCGTTCACGCATGTGTACATGTTTAGTATTGGGTACGTGCTATCATTTACTAGGAAGGAGTTGTCCATGTTTGCTATTCTCTTTCGTCTTGCTCACACGCACACACCATTCGCGTTCTCGACTACAGATTCCCACCCAAACTCTGGGTATATCTGTCGGAAGCATGGAACCGCAGTCAGTCGCCGTATATGATTTGCTTTCATGGCCCTCGCACACTTATCAACGATTACGAATTCGAGGTGGAACTTCTTGCGCAGACGCCCACATCCATGCATGCATCGGGGGAAGGTCATCAGGGATACATTTACCAACGCAAGGGACTCACTGACAAGACTGTCCAGGCTTTTATTGAAAATGCACCTTGTGATAAGGTATTTGAACGCGCCAAGACGCTGGTACAGTCCGGGTTGGAGCCATTGCGAGAGGTTGTCGACCAAACAGTGGCGGAGAACTGGACGTCGAGGAGGTCCATGACGAGATCGGAGGCCAAGCGACATGGGATTGTCCTCTCCAAGTAGTAAAATAGTCTTTTTGTTGCAGTCGTTGGATATATCATACGGTACGGTAGGTTGGGTGTGAACTTGGGGCAACGAAGATCCTAACAGATGTAGTCTAGTATTCTCGTTACGGAGGAATGATGCATTGAGAGGACATTCCGGTAGTTTTATGAGGTACTCGCTTTCATGTACAGTATCCCTGGTACCGGTACAGTGTAGCTAGCCAACCCGCACCTCCAGGACCTGGTAATCCGGCTCTAATCGAGTCGAGCGACTCGACTCGACTCGAAGTCCCCATCCCGTTTGTGTATAAGTAGCCAGAGCTGGTGAGCAATGTTGGCACCAGAAGTTAGCCAATACGCCCGGATGCTCATAGAGCACTGGTATACTTTAGCTAGGTATTACCAGTACTAGTAGCTAGCCTACCAGCTAGTGTATGGTCATCGGTACAAAGCGGAGTCCTCGAAGAGATGGGGTGTAGCCATACATTAGACTAGGTTCGGGCTGCTGATCGGGCGAGACCACTCTCGACCATTGTGGTGGCGCTGGATGACTTATAAAAGTGAGAATTGAATCGAATGGAATCAAATCTCAGACAAGAGTTGATAGGCAATCTTAAAATTCAACAAGATCATCCACATTATTGTTGTGCAATAGAGAAAGATTGAAGCAAATTGTCGAGACTCGGTAAGTTGCATGGCGTCGCCACCAGAGCATGAACACTGTCTGCTTTCGCTTAGTCTCGCGGTTAACCCCGCGGAAACCTTGCAGTTGCCTAATTTCCCCAAACAACCCACGGTAATCTATGCGGTGTTGATGGATCCTATGCGGTGTTTATGGAAGCGATATCGTCATCGGGCCTTCCCTTTCCGAAGAACAGCCATTGGCTGACATGCGTGCTCACTTTTGTCCTAGTGACGAGGGTTAAGCTCTGTGATTACCACTGTGGGAAAAAGAGTACCAATGTCGTACCGATACTCACTCCTTTACCGCTGCGTTTGGTCCTTTCTGGTTAGCATCACCGAACTCAAATATAGCGACAACCTTGCTTTGTTTGGCCTTTGTGTGATTGCAAAGCATCAGACCTACGGCTAGAGAGGATCGCACCGGTATTAGTTAGTACTCACTTGCAGCGAATGAACGGGACAAGCAAAAAGCACCCAAACATTACTACCTATCTAGCTAGCTAGCTAGCTAGCTAGCAGAGTATTATTAGTATTCCCTTTCAGTCTCACGCACTCACGCATGCAGTCGACCACTCAACAGAGTGGCTAAAAGCATAAGCAACCCACCCATTGATTCCGGTACGAACCAGACAAGACTTTTGTGTTTCCAAAACCAGCTGTGCCATGGACCAAGAAAGTGGCAACAATAGCAATCCAACTGACCCCAATGGCCAGCAGCAGCAAGTTCGAGGGCTGCTGAAGCTTTTGGCTGTCCAGATTTTGCAACTCGTCGCCGAGGACCCCAGCCACCGAGACACCGATGCGATGATTTGTCTTTTGAAAGACCTGGTCCTCAACGCTGTCCCGATTGTAGAGGACCCAGATTCAACTCAGGGTAAGTTTGTCTGTGGATGGATGGATATGGATGTCTCTATCTAGCTAGGCCGATGGACAGAGAGAGCGCTACCTGGCCGTTGAAGGGCCCAGATGGAGTATTGACGCATGTGGTCTTGATGGTTCTGATCTGACTATTCCACATTCTTACCATGTCTCTTATCAGGTTCAGCCACAGTGCAAGATTCCCAACCAAGCGCTTGCCAAACAGGGACAATACAGAATAGTCAACCTGTCATTTTGGTTGGAAATGCATCCGATACCATGATGAAACCCAGCAACATGATGCCACGGGCCATGGATGCCTCACCAGAGCAACCACCACCAGAGCGTCAGCAAGGTAGGTGGGATTGTATGTTAGCTATTCCAGAAAGAAGGAAACATTGTGCCTCTCTCTTACCACTGGACACCCCTTACCTAACTGCCTCGCCTCGCCATCCAACGAGTAGCCGTGAATGACGTGATGGATAGGATACGTGCTATACTGACGGGAAATCAGAGCATGAGGGATCAGGGGCAAACATCCCAACCGTCGCCTGCAATTCAGCCGCAGCAGCCGCCTCCTGCAATACAACCTCAGCAACCGTCTTCCCAACAACCCGGCCAGCAACCAACATACGAGAACAGCCATCTAGAAATAGCCAACTTTCTGGGCCAGCTGCAATCCCAGCAGTCAGCACAGCAGCAGCAGCAACAGCCAGCAAAGCAACAGTACTTCCAGCCACCTACACACCAACAGCCAGCACAACAGTATGCTCAGCCTCAAGTACAACATAATGCCCAGCCTCAGGCACAGCAGCAGTACCAGCCTCAGGCACAACAGCAGACAACACAACAGTATGCTCAGCCTCAGTATCAACAGCATGCTGTACAGCAGTATTCGCAGCCTCAGACGCAACAACAGCCATTCCAACAACAGCAACACTCCCAGCATCAACAGCAGTATCAACAGCAATATCAACAGCCTCCGGCACAACAACAACAGACATTTCAGCAGCAACAGTATTCCCAAGCACAGCAGCCCCAGCAGAACCCAGCACTCAATTCTATAATGAGTCTGCTACAGGATGCAGGGGTTCAAGGTGGTAAGTGTAGTCGTAGTGGCGAGTGGTCATTGTCCTAGGCTCTCCACTGCTAACCATGTGCTTCCTTTGTCGCGCATCAGCCAATGGCGCTGCCGTTGCGAATGGCTATCCAATGGTACCTCAGCAGCAACATGAGATTAGAGAAGTGCACGTACCCCACTCTTACCCAATGATCAACATTGAGTTTCCGGGGCCGCATGGTACGCACGCAATCGCAACCGTGAGCCCTCGATGCATTGGTCAAGCCAACTAACCATCTCGCTCCTGCTCTTATTAGATGTTGTCTTGGGGAGAGGAAGGGGCGCCAGCTGTCATATCGGTAAGTTTAGTTTGCCCATGTCAAAAGTTCTGGCGTGCACAGGATTCCTCACGTCATGAATGGCTTTATTATACAGGCAATATCAAGTTTCGAGCCTTCATCAAGAAGTACAAGCCTAAATATGCCGCTGCCAATCGGGTTGACAAACCGAAGGTAGCCGAAGAAGTGGTCGGCAAATGGAGGAGGAAGAATCCACCAGGTCGTTTCTTGGAGCAAACGCAAGTCGGTGACCGTAACATCTGGAACGATGTTGGTGATCGCAAGGTACGAACCAGTCTCGTCACACTAGGACAGCATTCCGGTCTCGCTCTCTCTCAACACTTGGTCTTGTCGCCTGCAGGCTCGTCAAAAGTCATCGCAATCCTTACGGGAGAAGGAATTGCCACCACCAAAGAAGAAAGAAGACAATAATGAAGATCAATGCGACTCGTCGTCGGTGGAATTAGGGGAAGGCCCCGAGATAGAGGAAGTCAGGTCGTCGGGATCGAACGGAGAGCAAGAGAGAAGCTCCAGTGGCAGCGAACAAGGTCCGGCTTCCGCTGGCAGCAGTGGTGGCGAGGAACAAGTTACGCAAGGAAAGGTGTCACGCGTCTCTGAAGGGAGTTCCTCTTCGTCCGGTGCTGGATCTGCATCTGATGGTGCATGATCTGATGCTAGACCGAGCGTTGTTCCTGGCAGTACTCCTTGCCGCGCTAACTTCTACATTGTGATTCCACGGTTGGGACATTTGGCTGGTTTAGTGCGTTGCAAAAGAAGGCCTTTATCCATGTCTTTGCACAATCGGTTGTACTTTTGGGTGTTGAGGAATGCGCGTATCACTATGTCTAATGTACCGGTATAAGTATGCGCAATAGAAGTACAATTTACAGTACAGTTACAACAAGTAGTATACTCAATTTGTGTCAAGGCAACACAAACACATGGACACTTTGGTCCTTATCAAAACATCTGCCAAGCAAATCGTAAGGTTGTGAAGTTAGCCGGGCGGCGCTTCAAGTACCGGCATGTATGCTCCAACAGTGTCACATCACTGCACTTACCGGAAGTCTTGTCCTCCCCGGCTCTTCATCTTGTCAGAGACAGCAATGATCATCTCAGGGTTGATCCAATGAATGCCCTCAATGTTACAGTATATTGTTTCACAGTTGTCATTCTTGGGGAACGAGTAGACTGTTCCCCCCTCTTGGTCGAAATGCAGAGTGTCGAGATCCCAAAGACCAGTTCTCTCGTCTTTGCCGAGCAAAGTCCCAACCCAGATTGCACTGTCTTCTTGAGACGAAATAGCCACACGACCTGCTTCATCCATGGTGATTGCCGAATAGTCTTTGAAATTGGCCGACGAGGGGATATTGACTTGGCGAATGGTATCCCATCTGCAGGTTACTCCGTCCTCTGCGACAGTTTTTTTCATAGCTACAAGTATGCCGTGACCACGATCAAACTTTTTGGATTCGGAACAATGATTTCCCTCACAGAGGGCCAACACCACTAGTTCATTAGAGATGTCCCGAATAGGCAGCACGCCTTCAAAGCCCTTGCTGTTGTCGATGATGGGCGACGAGGATACATACATGGATGGATGGATCGATCAGATCATTTGACAGAGTAAGTTCAAGCCACAGAATCTTTTTGTCTGAACGCACCTCGTGCCCTCGAACACAAACTCGGAACGACATGCTGCTTGAATCTCATAGTCATCTTTTCCCAGTGTCAACTCTTCAATAATGGCATGAAAGTCGCCTTTCTCCACATGAAATACTGACTCGCGGAGGACATAGAAAGTGCCATTGTCGTGAAAGAGTGCCTCGTAGCCAGAGTCCTAAAGGAGGTACAAAAACAGTGCTGAGATGGTGGCTCCAGGAGGTCCCTGGATGGAAAGCAGGAGGGACACCTAGCTAGCTAGCTAGCTAGCAGCTAGCTAGAGATGACGTTACCTCAGTTTCTCTGTTAGGGTCGCCAATTTGCTTATTTTCCGGGGAGAAAGGTCTCAGGTCATCAACAAAAGCCGAAATAGCCCATGAATTGTCACACACCGCATATGCGTATCCATCCACCAAGATGACATCAGAGGCCTCATACTTCTTTTGTCCTTTGGTGTCTTTGAACAGGGCTGCAAAACTCAACTCATAAGATCTTTGTAGCGTTCGTTCGGAGTAGAAACCATCATTGCAATCTTGTTCACCGGTGAAAGGTTGGAGGAAGCCAGGGGATGAGGTCACGACAATATCGTCTCTATCATCTCTTTTTGTTTGTTGTAGGTTTAGCAGCAAGGATGCCTGGTGTCAGTCAGAGTGCCTTGTTTGTATCCATTCCATTAGATTTCGTCACTTGCCCCCATTCTTCCTGGTTCACTTACTTACACACGCAATGAGCCACCTCGAATGTCTCCTTCCATGGACACTGCTGGATCTTCGTGATGACGCCGCATGAACATGGGAAAGACGTGCTTTTTCAACAGAATAAAGTAAATGCACAGCAGCACCGCACCGAGCACCATATAGGCAATTCTTGTTCGTCTCTTCATCTCTTCACCATCGTAATCCACAGCACTCAATCTCTGTTGGGCCAGAATTTTGGACATTCCCGGGCCCAGCGGCCGCTCTTGTTGATAAGATTCCAATGCCGCTGGCATTTGTGGCAATTCATGGCCGCTGGATCGGGGGCTTGTCCTTGTCATGGTCTCCGTTTTGGTCTCTGTCTGCATGCACTCACTTGACGCCAGCATCACAAGAGAGGAAGGTTTCTTCAGCTCGAGACTTGTACAGCAGGAAAGGTTCAGCTCGTGATGACGCCTTGTCCCCATCACGGACAACCTCTTTTAACAAATTGTCACTCACCACAGATCACCACTCACCTCGTCGTCACCAAAAAAAGAATTCCTCCTCCTGCTTCTTGGTCTGTCCTTCGTCCCAGTCATTCTTGTTTCAACTCCCACTCGTGTGAAACGAGGCATCATTTTTTCCCCGAGATGCTCCCACTCCTACGGGACCACAAAACAAATTTCGACCATGGCGCCTCATCTCGCCGAATCCAGGGTTGTACTACGGTCCTGTGGCAGTCCACTGGACCTGGTCGGTGTTCAGGTTTCTTTTGGTCGAAACTTCTAAAAGAAAACTTGACTGCCACAGAAATATTTCGCTCTTGAATCATAAATCGGCAAGCTCCAACAAAGGCAAAGCAAAAAACGAAGAAACACAAGTGAACGGCTAGTATTTCTTTCATTCATTCATCCGCTGATTTACCACCCGTTTATAGTTCCGTCAACGTCCATCTCTCGCAACTTTACCGAACCAACCAACCAACCATCCATCATGCCCGGAACCGACGTTGACAAGACCAGCCCAGAGTACCTCTGGAGCGAACCCAAAATGAAGGAAGTCATTGAACTTTGGGAACTCACCCCTTCCGATACACAAAAGCTATTCATCCTCAAGGCCAAGCTCAAGAATGTGCACCATCTCTGGAACTCCCCCGACGTCATTATGGGATTTGTCAGCACTGGAGGCTGGGAGACTGCAGAGCAGCGTTTCCGCAAGATGATCCAATGGCGGTTGGACAACAAGGTCGATGCACTCTTGACAGAATTCAAACCCAATCCACTGATTTTAGATAACTCTTGCGTTGCCTTTTTGAAGAACTACGATCACCAAGGAGACCCGATCTATCTCGAACGTGGTGGAGCTCTTGATGTCAAGGGGTTGCTCAAGCGATTCCCTCGGGAAGAGCTCATGCGTCATGCCATTTGGTTGCGCGAAGTCCAATGCAACGGAGCTTGGCTCGATGAGTACGAAAGACGCCAAGGACGTGGTGTTCGAAGCATTACCGTGGTGTACGACCTCAAGGACTTGTCCACTCGGCATTTGCACCCCAACGTACTTGGCTTTTTCCAAGAGCTGATGCAACTCACAGACGATTATTACCCCGGTCCGATCAAGGTATGTCGGGACGATCTGTGTTGTGCCTTGTACTGCTGTTTTCCGCAACTACTACTTGTCTAACTGTTTCTTTCTTTCTGACTGGACTCGTAGCGCATGATTATCATTCGTGCTCCCCACATTTTCCGGTTTGCCTGGAAGACCATCAAGGGATTCTTCTCGGAGGAATCACAGAGCAAGATGATCTTTGCTGATAGCGACTACCTAGCAGAGCTGGGCAAGTGGATGGACGTTGATGTCTTGCCACAATGTATCAACCCCGATGGCCACGGAGAAACCGCCATTGGTATGCCCAAGTACATGCAAGGAGGACAAATCCCTGATCACATTGGCGAGGGCGGTGTAGGTTACCATGCCGTCGGTTCAGGTTTGTCCGAGGCATCAAGTCCAGCAGATGATAGCTCGACAGACGAGTCGGCGAGTGAGGAAGAAGTGGAGCAGCTGATGGCTGGTCTTCACCTGACACAGGTTCCCGCCAAGGCCTAGTAGCTAGTCAGGTCCAACCAACCAAGAACAGCAAAACATTTACGTGTATAAAGAAGTTGACAGCGCGGAAATGTGGAACCACGCGCATTCAGGAAGATTCATAACACAAACGAGACTACCTTAATAATAATAATAATAATAATAAACAATAGCAGACAATTACAACCTACATCCATTTGGATTTTGGTTTGTGTTCATGTATGTGGTTTCGGCTCAATACTTGTGACACGAAGTGGATCACAATTCTGACTTGGCATCTCCAAAGATAGCCTTGTCCACAAATTCGGCTAGATATTCCATTTCCTCTGGATGGCTGCTGTGTCCCATGTTGTAGGCTTTGTCCACGACGGAAACACCTTGACTTCGAAGCTTCTCCACACCAAATGCTTGCTGAGCAAACAGGACCTTATCGTCCATTTTACCATGTCCCCAAAACAGAGGAATCTGTTTGGCATTGTCGGAAACATCCAGGTCTCCTGGCAAGGTTAACCACGCCGACAGACCTGCACAACCTGCAAAGGTTTCTTGCCCTCTGTAGCAGGTCAAGAGCGCAATGGCTCCACCCTGTGAGAAACCTCCAACGACAATCTTGGAGGGAGGAATACCTGCTTCTCCCAACTTTTCAACCTCCGATTCGATTTGTGCCACTGCCTTGTCCAACCCTTCTCGATCATCTTTGGAACCCACACCAATCGGCCAATCAAAGAGATCAAACCATCCCGGCATTTGCATGCCTCCATTGATGGTAATGCCAATCGTCGGTGCCGGCGGAAAGACGTAGGTGATATCTTTGAGGCGAGGCTTCATCTGCGGGAGCGACCTCTGGAGCTCGGACCATCCTGCAGGGGAATCACCGAGACCATGCAGAAAGATCAAAGCTCCCTTGCTGCCATTGGCGGATGTAGACAGAGCGGCGGCTGCACGGTTCATGGTCGAAAGAAGAAGAATCCAAACTGTCAATGTCAAAGAATGATACCCAAGGAATCCTGCTAATAAGCCTGGCATTCGGCTAGAGTATCCTTTCATCCAACCACGGCCAACAGGATTCGTTTCCTTTGTAAAGTAGCTGGAGTAACACTGGAAGCTGGAAGTGGGCACTTGCTAGCCAGGTGCCGATTGGTTTGAGGACTGTTGGTTGGTGGCTGTCGGGTAGTCGGGACAAAAGATTTTCAGAACGCACATTTTATCCTTATCGTATGGATCCATTGAATCGTACTGTACCGGAATGATTCGATTCATTCGATTCACGGCGACAAGAGGAAAACAAGTTCGTAAGCTGTTCCGGGACCACGGTGGCGCCGACACCAAAAGTGACGATGGTTGAGTCAGAGCCAGCAAGACAAACTCGATGCAAATTCCATTCCATTCCTCACCGAGGATCTGCCATCACGGGCAAGACTTCCGCAAAAGGATCCACTGATTCATCGATACCATGCGTTGCGCGTGAAGAACAGCACAGCAGCACATCGATAAGCGATGACGGAGGGTCGAGGGTAACCGACCAGCCAAGTACCATACATAGTACGGCCACTGATTCATGGAAACCACCGTTGCGTATGAACAGCACAGACTATGTATGCCATCACGATGCGTCATCCAAGTGGCTGATGGGTCGCTTGGAAATGGATGCATTTTAAGGTCTCTTGATAGAGCTCACAATTCCAAAACTCAAACACTTCAACACACTCATCCGCAAAACAACCAAAATGAAGATCATTGCTGCCATTTCCCTTCTTGCCGCTTCGGCTTCTGCCTTTTCCGTGGACACCATCCCAGGTGCCATTGCCCCAACTGGTCTCTTTGACCCTCTTGGCTTTGCCGCTAAGGCTGACGAGCCAACCCTCAAGCGATACCGCGAGGCTGAACTCACCCATGGCCGTGTTGCCATGCTTGCCACCATTGGTTTCTTGGTTGGTGAAGCTGTTGAGAGCAAGACCTATCTCTTCAACGGCGAAGTCACCGGACCTGCCATCACCCACTTGGCTCAAGGTTAGTAGTGTACACGTGCTGTAATTTGTCACATAACGCCATGGTGATTTTCAACATGTCTCTGTACTCAACATTTTTCTTCAATCAATGTCCTTCACACCAGTCAACCCTGTCTTCTGGATCTTGTTGGGTGCTGGTATTGCCAAGGCCGAGACTCAACGTGCTGAGATTGGCTGGGTTGAGCCCAAGAATGTCCCCTTTGACAAGCCTGGTCTCTTGAGGGACACCTATGTCCCCGGTGACATTGGCTTTGACCCCCTTGGATTGAAGCCTGAAGACCCTGAAGAGTTCTTCCAAATGCAAACTAAGGAACTCCAAAATGGACGTCTTGCCATGCTTGCTGCTGCTGGTTTCCTAGCACAGGAGCTTGTCAACGGAAAGGGAATCATCGAGAACCTTCTCAACTAAGCCAGATGATCTTGGCGTTACTCAGAACTTGTACATATGACAGCAAGCAACTGGACATAGCATTTTAAACTAAGCAAATTGAACATAAAAGAAATACCAAAAGAACAGGATAGATTAGAATGTTTTTTAAAAAGTCAATGACAGTGAACTGAGTAATCTCAATATGGTGCTCTTTGCCGAGAATATCACCGCAATAGTCATGAAAAGATTTTCAGGGATTCCCAATTTGGTATTGTAGGGCACTTCCATGGTGTCTGAGGTTTGAACGTGCTTTGAATGGACGGTAGCGAGGTCTAGAAGGCGAGCTCTCTAGCCTACACTTGCATACGCTGTGACACCTAGGTTTCGTAACTTTATCCATAAGCTTAAGTCTTCCTGGGAGGTACTAGATCCAAGTTGGCCTTCAAGGACGGCTTCGATTAGATACGCGTCACCACGCCTTCGATATCAATCATCTGGTTAAATGGTGCCAGCACTCTATGCCGAGATAGGCGTAAACATATACTTTCCAGCACCTAACTCCGCAAAGGCACCTCCAGCAATAGGTCCACAAATGTACAGGCCCTTGCTCGTGATGGCCACGACCTTTACACCATTCATATAGGCCACTCCATGGCTTCCACCGTCGCCAGCATTGCCTTGTGCACCAGTAGTGGTTCCAACGGAGACACCGGCACTGGCTCCACCAATCGTCGCATGATAATCGTACTTGAGCTCGAATTTGCCGCTGGTGAATTTTTGTGTAGCCTCTGCGTTCTCGAGAAAGACAATCTGTTTGATGTTTTCAGCGCCGAAACCACCGAGAGTTCCTACTGCATATGTGGCGTCTCCGAGCTTCATGCCATCCTTCAGAAAGACTTCGCCTGTGCCGCCTTTACCGCCAATGCCGATGGCGACGCTGGTAATGCTTGGAAACACGGCATAGGCATGGCAGGATTCAAACTCAGGGGCCATGCCTTGGTTCTTAGCAAGGTTGATTGTTTGTTCTATGGAAGAGACGGACATGATGGAATTACTTGTTTTGATTTTGTTTGTTCAGTTTGGCACTGTATCCTTTTGCTTTTATGGATGATGCCGGTACCGGTCAGACTATAGCTTTGCCCAGATTTTCCGGGAATATTCTTGTTGGATCCACGAATCGAATCTTCAATCCCTCCCAAACTACAGCGTCCGCATTACATTGTCAGCAATATGCGGTTATACTGTACGTTTTTACTGTTTCCGTATGCAATTTTGCGATTCTTTATTGCAAGCATTTTATGAAATGAATACATGAAGAGTACATGTACGCAGTACCGATACCGTGCGTTGTCGGTGTTTGCCATTGTTGCCGTATCACAAGAAAATCAACAACAACAACAACAACAGCCGCGTCTTCCCCTGTATTGCTTTGAGCGATTTCTTGGCCGTGCGGTGCCTTTACTATATTCTTTGCGAGCTATTACCTCTACTGTACTCACTTGTTGGCTGGTGATGAAATCAATCTATACATAGCTAGTAGCTACGGTAGCAACCGAGCTGCTGCGGTACTCTACCGTAGTTCAACACCGTAGCCTCTGCTACGATGTACCGAGGCTACCTCGGTAGCTACCGCGGCCGTACGTCTATACTAGCTAGAGTTAGTAGCCGATAACACATCGTAGATCCTTTGTGCTGTGCGTGATGGTGTAGAATAATTTAGGTATGTACGGCACCTGGCTCGAGTTTTGTTGTGGTGCGGTAAGGTTGCTGCCTGACAAAACCAGGCAAACAACCGTGTACATGGGTACAGGCTCTACGTGTTACCTGTCTTTCCTTTGTTTGTGGTGTTTCTACCTTCTCGCTGACTGGAACGACCGCTGGCTCGTGAACATCGCACTGGGTATGACGAAGGTTTCGCAACACATGACGCACACAGGGAGAAGTCATCCATGCAAAAGATCGCAAAGTGATCGGCAGAGAGGAAAAACACATGAAAATGCAAAGTCCTCGAAAAACTAAGTCCACGAACGGCAAAGACAAATCGATCAAAAAGATAACAAAACACAACAAGGAGAAAACACAAGTCACAAAAAATTCTTAAAACTAAAATGAAACATATAAAATTTGTGTTTGCTATGCCTACAGCAGGATCGCCGCTGTAGGCTGGGTGCCCCACCAAGGCGCTCAACGCAGCGTGGGTGGAAGCGCGTTGGGCTATTCTTCTTGTCATGTTAACTTGTGTGATCTGGTGTGACCGTTAAGCCCCGTAGGTGAGCATAGATTCGGTTCGACCGCTGCCCTCACAATCGAGCCCTTGGCCATCAACTCGAATACCGAGTCCCACACATGCTTGCGGCGCAGAACTTGTCCTTGAGCCAGGCCCGCGCTCAACGAGAGTAAACTCGCATGCGGCCTTGTTGCCATTCAGGCCCTTGATCCACTCGATCCCACAGCTCGTAGAGTTTGAAGGCTTCTTCGAAGCTGGCTGGCGGGTAGCGGGTGTAGGTGCCCTTGCGGCAGGAGTACGGCCAAACGCCCAGGACTCAGGCGGTGGTGGTGGGGGAAGTCTACCGCCGCGCGCTCACCGCTGCCAGCCACCGGCCCCCGCGCAGCCACACCGCCAGTCCGCACGAGGAAGCGCGAAGCCGTGGTAGACGCACCCCTCGCGATCAACTGGAGGTGGTTGATCCTCCCAATGTTCTTGTTCACGCAGGGCCATGTTGGTCGAAACACAGCCCCTCAAGGAGCTGATGTCCTGTGCAAGAATCTGCTTGGCCTCCTCGATCGCCTGCTTAGTCCTATGTTGGAGAGCAAGAAATTGGTTGAGCTGTTCCACGTTGACACCACCAGGAGCACATCCAACCAAGGGCTCAGCACAAGCTTGGACCTGGGCGAGAGCGTGGGAGCCATCTTTCTTCTTTTTTTGGG